ATTTTTGGCAATGAATATTTGATATACATTTGATATACATTATCAGTAAGTTTATAGCTACTCTTTATTCTGCATTTACTGGACAGTTTTATTGCAAGTCATTCCCGTAAATGAGAAACTCTTGGTAGGCAATGTTATAGTAACAGTGTATTTCTATGTATAGTTTTACAAAAATGTATTTACCTCGTGATCGCCGGTGAGACAGTCAATTTCGACTTCCGTACAAGCGACGCCGTATGTAAAGTAATTAAACGGATTTCCCATGTTAGTCTCAAATGAATACCCGATGTCGGGCGTTTGATAGAAACCAGTGGCGGATAGACTTATTCTCTGGAAGTACGCTGTCTTTATCCAATTTTCCCAAGTGCCATCTGGATCATTGTCCATTATTGCTTGTAGTCGTTTCATAATTTTCTTGCACGCATTCTGCCACATTAATTCAATCATTTAGTTATGTTTATTTACACAGTGAAATACTATTTGTTATTATTACCATAACAGCCATGCCATTAAGATCAGAGCCAGCACTCGCTGCTGTAGCAGATGTATTAGGCACCTTATCGGTAGCCGTTTCAACAATGTGTATTTTGTCCGGGTTTACTTTTAACATTCTGCTAGCAACCTAATAAAACACGGCATTTTATATTTTACGTAAAAATATACAATAAAATATAAATATAAAATAAGAATAAAATATATAAAATATAGTATACAAATATATGATGATTGTTTGATAAGTTTTGAACCTAACAATTAATCGGTATGTTAAATTTTAAATTATTTAAATGTTACAATTGCCCCATGTTACTTTTGACCCTAGTCTCCTCTATATATAATTTTTATACTTTTTATATTTAATATTGGGAGTACAAATTAGTTCGGTCCGTTTTCAAAACTCATACCTGAATCATTTTTGTATGTAGACCTTGCCCCATCTCAACGCCGCCGTGACTAATTAGAACGGAGCCATCAATGTAAATGTGTACAAGTGCACCGCTTTGATTCAAAAACAATGCAGTAAATGCTATACCAAACTTCGTAGGTACGATTGCAATACCTCTTTTTTTAAATACATTTTCCCTGCAAGATAAATCGTTGATTTCATTATTAATATAGATTACTACAAAGAAAGTAGCTATAATATACTCACTTATTATAACGTTGAATCTCGACTAATCTTTCATTGTAATGGGATGATTCTAGACATTCTCTCCAACAACGATCCATAGTGCAGTTGAGAAGTTGCTGGTTGTAATGTGTTAGGTCGCCCTCTTTATATAAATTTAACTCGGACAACTATCGGAAAGTAAGATTTTTCTGTTATTTGTGTACTCCTTCATTTACTTGTAGCACATAATTTGGAGATGTGATATATATACATGACAATAGATTTCTTGATATGTGGCAATAATGTAAGAATTTCAGGTAACTCATAACCTTCGTAATTGTAACGCATAAATTGGAGATGTCGAGATGCAATAAATAAGATTAATTTTTTATTATTTTTCAAATATCACAGTAAAAATACATATCACATAAAATATATATCACACAAAATATATATACAAATATAAATATATCATAGCAGAAGCAAATATTATAGTAAAAGAAACGATGGGATGTTTCTTCCATTATGATATTTCATAGTATTAATATAATGTAATTACTTTTACGACATCCATTTGCAAATAATCGGCAATTTGTCGGATGATATTTTCAGCTACAAACATTCCTTGTGGTCCGCCAAAACCTCGAAAAGCTGTATTCGACGGTAAATTTGTTTTACAAATGTATCCGTATACTTCTGATACTGGGATTCTGTATGCATTTTCAAAGTGAAACATGGCACGTTCTAACACCTACGGTTATTCATGATTATCAGTTTCTCGATACACAGAACTGCATATATCCGATTAATGGGGAAGGCGATTTGACAAACTCAGCTGAAGGCAGCACTGATCTTGAGGACATGGCTGACGCAATACTGTACGGTGGAACAATTATTAACACGAGTATTTCTTGTTACGCGAGTAATTTTTGCCTTCGCGGCAAATGCATATAACGAGATGATGGCGCTGCAGAAGCGGTCTTACGGTCCCTAAATTGATGGCTAGCATCATCTATAGGGAAATTCCGGTTTCATACTTCTACACCTGGTAAAGACAACATTCGATTATTGTCCGTGTCACTGCGTGTACAGATCGCGAATGAACATGGAGTGACAAAAAAAACGTTTATGTGTACAGTTTCCTTCATAAACACATGTACGCAGACGCCATGAATAGCCCGACGTGTCCTCAAGTTCATTAATGCTCCTAGTAGTTATAAATAACAGTTGTCTTCCCCATAGAATAAAATTTTTAATTTTTAATGAACGTCGATTCTCTTGATTACACAGTCGTACTTACCGATAATGATAAGTCGTAGGAGTAACCTGCATTATTGTATATATGTACTGTCACCACTTTAATCAAACCATCACTATTAAATCCAACTTTGTATCTGAACAAAAATGGGTGCCGTGTTCCACTTATCATCATGTCTTCGTCTCTGTCTAACATGCAACGAACTGGTTTCTGTAACCTACATTTCATTTTCTTCTTCAAGAATGCAATTAGATCCTATAAACTCAACTAACAGTAAAACATGCCGTAAAAACCCACCAATTAACAGTAACAGTAATATCAGTGTTATATTACTTTTAGTTGGTGTTTGTTGGGACTTCATAGTGTGCAATGCATAAATAAGTAAATAAATAAATAAATAAATAAATAACAAGATGGATAAATAAATAAATAAACAAATAGATAAATAGATAAATATATGAATAAATAACTATTCAGTAGCTATTCGTAGGTATATTTTTGTAGGAATAACAAACATTTTTCTAAATAAAAAGTCAAATAATCTTTAAATTTTTGTGAGAAGTTCTTTACGGAAAGAAATTACAAGAATGCAAAAAAGTTACTGGTATATTATTACAATAGTTCTTCAATAGTATATCAATAATTTTTTCCCATTCTTGTTTTTTTTTTTTGTACAACGTCCTACGTTATACGTTTCAGTCGATATATATTTACATACTTGTATGCAGCGAATGCCACGGGTATCGCAAGTAACATTGGACGAGACTCTTTTCCGCCAAATCCTCCACCTAAACGCTTTACGCGAACGTTAACTCTGTTTATATGTATATTCAAAACATGGGCAATCAATTTTTGTATCTCGGTGGGATGTTGAGTAGAACAAAACACTTCTAATTCATCCCCATCGCGAGGTACAGCGATAGCAGCGTGTGTCTCCAAATAAAAATGTTCTTGGCCGCCCATTCGTACCTCTCCTTCCAAAACATGATCCGCTTCCGCAAAAACTTTCTCCGCATCTCCTTTAATAATGCGTTTTGGATAGCCAGGGAAAAATGATTTGTATTTGATAGCGTCCTATAGAAAAAAATTAATGTGTTTATGTATTTATCATTGTATTTTGATTAACGAACAAAGCTGTCCTTTTTTGTGTCAGTATAGAATTGATAGATATAATACCTCGATAGATATGATGGTGGGTTCTATATTTTCATATTCTATTTCAACCATCCTTGCTGCGGTCTGAGCGGTACTTTGATTGTTAGCGACAATCGCACCAATTACTTGACCATTGCTAGTAACCTGAAGATGTAGGACAGAGAAAATTCGAAGCTTTGCCCATAATGCACAATTCAAAATACATATAATCGCAAAAATATAAGATAAACGTACAATTCCTATTATTACGTTAAAATCGATGAGGTGCTTATTATATCGTCTTTGTCAGTTTAACCCGTCCTACTTTTACATGAACGATTGAAAGAAAAGTTTCAGACACTTTGTATAATTTAAAATAATTCATCGAAATTAAAATCATTGTGAACTGTTTGCAATATAGAATAAGAAAAATAAAAAAAATAATAGCATTTTTTGCTGTTTCTCTGAGAGCATAATTAAATTTTAACTTGAATAAGTTTAGTTTAACTCAACTTTTAAGTTAGTTTATCTAACTTCTAATATAACTAAGTTAATTTTAGGTCATTAAATTTAAACTTAATTAAAAAAAATTAAACAAAATTAAACTTATCCAAATTTGCTATTTTAGATTTTTCTTAATATCTATTTTTATTTAATTTCCATACCTTTTCCGACATAAAGACTTCTTCATCGTGAAACGCAGGGCCTACCCATTTTCTGTCTTCCGCTATATCCTTTGAAGAGAAAAATGATACCACTCCTTTCATGAGTAAGGCCTTGGTAGGGTCGATTTTCAAAATTTTTGCGTGAGCTTTAGTGGAAAGGACCAATGCCAAATATAATTCATCTGTAAATTTTGGCATATCGTCACAGTATAGTGCTTCTCCGGTTGCTTGCTTATATGCACTACTGTGTATAATGGGACGTCCTAATAAATCGTGTGACTGTTGGTCTTTAGACGCCTACATTATTAAAAGTTGTAAAGTACTATAATTTATACCAATTTAAATATTAATTTATAAGCGTATTGAAGCATTTACCACTTGGTAGTATTGTGAGCTCTTTGGTACTTTATAATGGAAGCTGTATGACGCGCTTTCCAGTTCCTTCGGCAAAAATTCCACATCCGAAGTATATTGCGATAACTGTTTACAGATGTGCACGAATCCTTTAAAAAAAAAACTGCGAAACATATGACATATGTTAATCATGTTAATTCACGTTTCATTCCTTCCTGAAATGGCAGTCAATGACGAATTTGATAAGAGGCGTCCTTTAAATTATAATTCTAGATAACAGCATGTATTCAACCTGATCTCATTTTGTATTCACAATAGTCAAAACGTAAAGATAAGAATAGATACAGATACATGTGCATAAAAACATGTATAATTATGTGCCGATACGACTTAAACTTTGCAGAAAGAAGTCAGTATTTTGCTAACGAAGTTTTCAAGTATGATATCACTTCAAAATTGCTTAATATTATACCTGAGAGTAAGAACCCGGCGATATTTAATCATTCCACCCGGTGCGTTATCCGATAATGGCAATTCTTCGAGGAGAGAATTATAAACCTCCTCCAAGATCGACTTATTCCATTTCCTGAAATTGTTGATATAGCAAATATATAGCTAATGACGTGTAAACATCTTTTTACGACGCTTATGATGTTACCTGCCAATTATCTTCTGGCATGTCCGTCTCGCCAGGATAGTAGTGGGCGCCATCCCACCAAATGCGATATGCAGTTCTTGAATTGTGCTTGAATCAGGCACGAAGTACACATTTAATGCCATGTTAACTATAGCGATATCATCGTCTCGTCTTTTCGCTTGTTTGTAAGCGACGAAATATTGGTTCTGTGTGAAAAATATAAAAATAGAAAACATACAAAATCTTTTGTGGCACACACCGTAGAGTTGTTTGTACATTGATATTACCTGCTTTGAGAAAGGAATCTCGATGGACACTAACACTTCTTCGGGCAAGATGATACTCCGTCGATATCCAACGAAGAAAGTATGATCCATTGGTATCGTTCTGTTGCCGTGCTTTAAACTACACAAATTCAATTTGACTCCTGCGGCCATAAAGATCGGATTCAAATCTGATATTGGACTGCCAGTCATTATGTTGCCACCCACCGCCTGTAATTATTTCAAAGAAATTTGTTACTTATGAATGGTTATTGTGCGATATTCTCGTTATACTCACAGCAACATTTCTTATTTGCTTCCCAGCGAACCAGTGCAACATATTTATTATCTCCATGAAAATTCTTGTACTATAATCTATGGGAGAAAATTGTTCTGTATTATCTGTTTGTTATATATATATGGAATATATATGTATATATTCCAAATATTTGTTTATATAAGTTATGTACTTAAACAAGTAAAAAGCAAGATCGAAATTTTAATAAATTAATAGTTTTTAAGATTTATTCACGATTTAAATAATTAATTCATTTCAATCTCTATACTTGAATTTCGAAAGATAATAATTTTCAATATGACATCTCTGATGTCAATAAGACATTATTAAAATGTCATTTAAAGTTACTTTGTAATATGACATTGCAGCAATATTACTATAATATTATAATATTTCGATGTTATTTATAAACATGTAATATATCAATAATATTTCTGTAATATTTTACTGCCATGCGTAATATTTCCTCGATATTGCAATATTACTACGATAACACTGTAATATTATGTACTATATGTTTATATTATTATGTACTATATGATGTTATAGGGATATGCGATATATCGCAATATAATGTTTCTATAATATTTGTATTACATGACAGTGTGACATATTTGTAGTGTGACATAAGTTTTTGAAATATTATTACAATATTTCACAAATTCCACGTGTTATATAACAGTTATATTGTTATGTTGGACATTGTAACATTAATGTTATGTTAATGATACTTAGTGTTTACTAGAATGATTAGCAATTTAGTACATTACCTGGTTTAATTTTAATTTGATGTTTCAATGCTTCTTCGAGTTCAACCAAAGTAATGCTCGCACCCACTTTCAATGCGTCCTGAATTTCGACGATTTCGCGCATTTCTCTGATCTGTATTGGTTGTATGAGCAGCGGGTATACCAAGCGTTTGAATTTTACTTCGACGCCTGTAATACAATAAGCAAAAGTCAACATATATGAAGTATGTAAAATTGTAAAAATATGAAATAAATTTTTTCTCAATTGAATAATTGATTAAGATGAAAACGAATATGATTTAATTCAATTAATTGAAGATTTATTTAACAAATCCAATTATAGATAATTTAATTGATGATTGATTTCAACGAATTCAATTAAAGATCATTTAATTGACGATTGATATAAGCGAGGGGAATCCAAAGTCGTTCGATTAATGATTGAACTTAGCAAATTTCAGGGGGGAATCGCTAAAAAAATTTCTAATATTTTCTTTTATTATTATTATAACATATATATGTGCACATGTAAGTGTTACAAGTCCAAAAACTACATAAAGTGTTACAAGTCCAAAAACTAACTCTAAAAATATTAAAAATTTTTTAAACTAAACTCTATTGTATTTACATTCTGTCAAATAATACCGGGAATTGTTCATTTCTAAAGCCCGTGCAAAAGGTATAAAAACAAATTTTTTGCTGTAAGTTGGTACCAATGTACGAGGGTGAATCAAATATAAACCGGAATTATTTTTATACCCGCAGTGAGGCGAATGGAGAGAGGCCAGGCTTCTGAGCGTTATAGGTGGGGATGCCTGAAGGAGATTCCCCCCTACGTGACCTCTCATTAGCGCTCCGTTAATTAGTATCACAATGTCAGAGCGGGAGGTGCCCTCGTCCGTTGCACGACGAATTATTATTAAATTTCTCACTGCAAAAGGCGTAAAACCGTGGAACACATTGAGAAGGCTTGAAGCACAGTTCGGGAACAATACGCTTAAGAAGGACTCAGGTGTACGAGTGGCACAAACAATTTTTAGAAGGACGAGAAATTGTTGAAAATGAGGGGCACCGACGTCGCCCGAGGACCAGCGTGATAGAGGAGAATATTCGCCTGGTTGGGAGCCTTATCGAGGGTGACCGTCGATTAACGGTCGCTGAAATTGCTTCTGAGGTCGGAATAAGCTTCGACAGTGCTCAGGCAATCATTACTGACGACTTTGGGTTTCGAAAAGTATCCGCCAGATGGGTCCCTCGTCTTCTCACCGAAAATCAGAAACGGCACCGTTTGGAGGTGTGCGAATGGCTATTGACACGTTATCAGGCCGAAGGGGAAGCTTTTTTGCACTGAATTGTGACTTGCGACGAAACTTGGGTACACCACTACACCCCAGAATCCAAAGAAGCCAGTATGGAATGGTGAAAGAAAAGTGAATCAGCACCCGTCCAAGCCAAAACTCGGCTCTCAGCTGGAAAAGTTCTTGCAACTGTATTTTTTGACTTTAAAGGTATTTTGCACGTCGATTTTCTTCACGAACGTCGTACTGTGAACGCCGCATACTACTGCCAACTTTTGGACGAAGCAAAACGCGAATATCGTCGGAAAATACGCGGATTTCCAATCCGAGACGTTATCCTGCCTCACNGGATTTCCAATCCGAGACGTTATCCTGCTTCACGATAATGCCCGGCCCCATACAGCTGCCTTAACTCGTAAAAAAATTGAAGAACTGGTCTGGATTACACTGGAACACTCTCCCTACAGTTCGGACTTATCGCCCTGCGATTATCATTTGTTTGGACCACTGAAAAAAGCACTTGGAGGACAAAGATTTGACAACTATGCTTCTGTCGAATCCTTCGTGAGCGATTGGCTGCTGTCACAGCCGCCTTCATTTTATGATAGCGGAATTAAAAAACTGGTTACCCGTTGGGAAAAATGTGTTTCGAAGTCCGGGGATTATGTAGAAAAATAGTTATGTATGTTAGTTTTGAGGCTATATGAATGTAGTTTCAGTTTAATGTATGGATTTTAACTAATTTTTTTTTACAAAGTGGTAGCGGTTTAAAAAAATAATTTCAAAGATCGATAGGTAAAATAAGCCAATTTTGGCCTAACCGGTGGAATCTTTTTTATGCCTGTTCTTTTATACTTTTTGTTACGCTGAATCATTTTAACTCTAATTTCAAATTAAACTGGTGGGAAAATATTGAATTGCATTCAAAGTAACATAGTTTCGTCGAAATCTGAACAAAAACTCAAAAATACATCACATTTTCTAGTTAACTTGAATTCTCTATCCCACCGATGGATCATGTTTTTTGAACATAGGTGTTAACAATACTGTGCAACATCGTCATGTATTTATATTTTCACGTGCAACAATTTTTAAAGTATCTTTAAAATGTATCTATTCAATGGACCAATTAATACTTTTTCTAAGACTTACAGTCATTAAAGAAACCAAAACAAACGCTTTTATTATAGCGTACCTTCTTAAGATGCATTGTCATATAATAAACATTTTGTTAGTATATAAAAGATTATTTGATGCTGTGAAAATTGCGGCAATATTGCGGTGATATTCTGATGCCATAAATATTGCTGCTTCTTTTGCTTAGAAAAACGCAATTTTTCCGAAATTATTGTAATAATAAAAAATCAATATTTTGATTAAAATTGACGTAATAAATAAGTATTTCTGAAAACAAGTATATTTTAGACATATTGTGCTGTTACACACTTATTATCATAAAGCATATAATTAAATTAAATGTTTGCATATTATATTCAGTATTTCTATTTATTTAGATATACAATATGACCTGTATTCTGAACTCTCTTTTGTCGATAAAAGTGCCTTAAATATGACTTCTCATCCAATTAGGTGGGTCTTAAACAATTTTTAGAGGTACTTTTATCGATAAAAAAAGAGTTCAAAATATGGGCCTAAGAATTTGAGATATTTACGATATATCGCAAATTCTTTAATCTTAAGATTACAATATTTTCTACGAGGAAAACATACGAACCAATCTCCGTATTGCCGATAACAATTTTAGCACTCGGATACTGATCCTTGAGAGCGAGCAACGTCTTGAGAGTTGTAGGTCTGTGCCAAGTGACGTCTGTCCCTTTTATTATCAAATATTGTTCATCCAGTTTGGATTCGATCTACATAATGAAAGTTATTCTTGATTAACAGCTCGCACTATTTTATAACATGTTAGTATAATTTTCTGTTGGTAACAACTTGCTTTCAATTTCGGCGGAAATATTGGTTCCTGACTGGGATTATACGGACAGAATTCCTTAGAACTGAAAAGTTCCGACGTGAAAGCCTTTTTCTTGCAGCAAGCGTCGCCCATCGAGCAGACTCTTTTATCGTTTATCTCCTTCTCTCGCACGTTAGCCATTAATTGCGACTGTTCCCATTCCTCTGTGAAAGTCTTAAATCCCTCTATAATCGGTCTGTATCCTGTACATCTGCATAAATTACCTAAAAATTATATATGTCTACGAATGTGCAAAATAAATCTTTACATGTAACTATTCAAGTCGATTATATAAAGCGATATTGATAAGGAAGCAAGGTTGGAAATTAATGTGCTACTTGTAGGATCATGATGAGACGAAAGGGACAAATCGAACTATCCGCCGCATGCATCAGCCAGGTCACGAGCTTCGACAAACCCGTGCTTAGATGTTAAAAAGGGCGCTGATAGGGACTTAAATACAAATTTTTCTCATTTGTTGTAATATTTCTTTAGTAACACATATTGGTTTCACAAACGATTTATAAACATTTAATATTTGTAATATTTCACCACCATTTGTATATTGAAAACGTTTTATATGATACGTGTAAATTGTACTTATATTGAGAAAAGTATATTTAAGATATTGTAAACGCTTATATATTAACATTTGTTACCGTGAAGGAAAAATTTATCAAAAATAAATCATTATTAAATAAATCATTTTATTTTTATTTAAAACATTTTATTATTATTTAATTATTTAATAATTTAATTTTATTATTACTGAAATTTAATAAATCATTATTAAATCTATAAAAAATGTTTCATCATTCTATTTTATTTACTAGGTCCATAAATAAGTTCTGATCGGATTGATAAGAGGACGAAAGAGAGTGTATCGAATCAAGAATTTAAATAGCTTAGGTGGTAGTGCAGTTGGCTGGCGAGTGAAGTCCACAGTTCGATTTCCGGCCCAAACACTACGATCCCGGTATAATTTTCTGTCAAATTTTTTAACCAGTGGAAATAAGCGGATTTGATGTTTCCAAAGTTCTCAAAGCATTTCAGAATTGTGGGAATTTGAATTCAATGTTAGTGACGTCGAAATATCAAGACAAGTTTTTTACGTATGTTTTCTTTAATTTAAATAACAGATCTTGCTCAGTATTTGGCGTCAATTAACATTAGATTTTGTTATCAAGCTTCTTCTCGGTATTTGGCGCTAATTTGATATCAGATTTCGTCACCAAGTTTTGCTTGTCATTTGACATCAATTTGCTGTCGGAATTTTGTAACCAAGTCTTGATTTATTTGGCGCCAATTTGGCGTCAAGTTATCTACGCAAGCTTTGTTAGCAAAACATGAGCTTATTGCAGAAACAGATGGCACCGGATTTATCGACAAATTGTGAGTGAATTTAATGACAATTTGACAATTTGTTATCAAATTGGATGAATGGAATGAAATCACGAATACATTTCACGATTCAGAGTAAAGAATATGAATGAAAAATCACTCAAATTCGAGTGATTTGTTGGTTACTCTGCTCTTAGAGGGAAATTACATTAAAAAGTATTTAGAGAGTAAGCGACTTTCGTTACTCTTTTGTACGCGTTACCTTGAAATGCGATTTCCAAATTCGTCATATTCGGCTTTGGTATGCTGCGTAACAGAGCATACATGGACATAACTATACCAGGTGTACAAAATCCACATTGCGATCCATGTGCTTTGACAATACGTTCCTGCACTGGGTGCAGCCTCGTTCGTGTGCTACCGATGCCTTCCACAGTAGTCACAGCCAAACCGTGCACAGCGCATATCGGTGTTAAGCATGCGTTAACAGCTAAATGACTGTCTCGAGAGATTTATATAATGACATTAAGGAATTAAATACATTCAATGATAAATATAATGATGAAAGTAGTGCGTCCGCTTTTCGGTGATTGAGTTACAGATTAAGGATACATAATTTTGTTGGCGACACGATCGAATCTTGAGATCATTACTGTGCATGCTCCGCAGCCTCCTTCTGCACAACCGAGTTTTGTGCCAGTTAATTGAACTAAATAATTATAATCAAAGATAAATACATTAATGCAATTGACTCATTTTATCATTTCCTCACTTTTTTAGGAAGAAGTATAAATTTATAAATTTGATAAAGGATACGCTTGTTGCGGAGATACCACAGGAGTGTCCATTGCGGATCTATATCTTTATCTGATACCTGTGGATTAAGACACAAATTATTATATAATTATCATATTTGACATTTAGATACTTGAAAGATGATGAAAGATGTGACGGACTTGCAGCAGCGATAACTTTTGCAAAAAGAAGTATATTGTATGATCTAGAAAAGAAAATTATGAGCATAAGAACTACAATTGTTACAAGTGGCATGGCAGAAATATGTAATGATAACATTAAGAAATACCAGCAAGATTTGAGAATAATATTTCCTATAAAAATAATTGAAGATTTTATAATTTTTGAGGAAGCATTTACAACATCGGATGATATGAAGAAAGCTTTGGTAATTATATTAAAATAACATCACTTTATACAAACGAAACAATTATTTGTTATTTATTTACAGTTTGTTTATTTGAAATATGTATTGTAACAGAGCAGCATAATTGTAATACTGCGATACTTTTGCTACGTAAGATATATATTAAAGGTTCTAAAATGAATGTTCTTCGAACGTTCCTCGAACGTTTACGTGCTGCTTGGGAATGTACCTAATTGTCACGTAGAGTTTTGACGCCATCTGTCAAACAGTTTGTTTACAGCTGTTAGTTTTGTTAGTCGATCTCAAGTGTACTCTCCGATTTAAAAAATGGATAAATATATCGAACAAAGAGTCTGCCTCAAATTTTGTGTTGCCAATGAAATTTCTTGTGCAGAGTCGTTGAAAATCTTGGAGAAGGCCTACGGTAAGTCAGCTTTGTTGAAAACACGAGCATACGAGTGGTACAAAGCATTCAAAGAATGTCGAGAAAATCAAAGTCATGTTGACTGTTTTCTTTGACTATCATGACGTTTTCCACTCGGAATTCCTTCCGGAGAGGCAAACAATATTATCCGGGCGTTATGAGGCGTTTGAGAAAAAATGTTCGCCGGAAAAAGCCAGATTTGTGGAGGAACAATTTTTGGATTTTTCACCACGATAATGTGCCGCCCCACACACATCGACCCTTATACGCGAATTTTTGATCAAAAACTCAACGAATATCATCGACCAAGCACCGTATTCGCCAGATATGGGTCCGTGTGACTTTTTCCTGTTCCCCAAACTCAAATTATCACTTCGTGGAAGACGTTTTGAGTCCATTGAAGCCATATAAGTGTATCGCATTAAATGGGGCGTATTTTGAAGACGACAAAATAAATTTGGATGATTAATCCAATATTTTGTGTCTTATTGAACTTGAATTCCAGGTATTTATTTGACAGAATGTATGCATATACAGAACTATTTACTTTTCATTTGGATCAATGTATTGCATATTCGCAATAAATGAACTTTATAAATGTTCTAAGAGCGTTTTTCTATTATGAATATACGAATCTCTGCCTACAATATTCTATGTATATTCACATGAAATATCTTATTCTCGCGGGAATATTCGGGAATTAAGAACATCCCTATTTCATGAGAATATTCATAGATTGTTTTGCGCTATCTCGCACTCTATTTTACCTCCTTCCCATTAACGTAGAATACGAGAGTGTCTGACACCGGCGCTTCCCGCAGCTCGTCGTCGATCGTCGTCGGCACAGCAGTCTCAAATCCATTGCATGTTGCATACCCATTGCATATGGAAGTCGTTCGATTGATTAACAATTGCTCCATCTTCGGATTAATGTGCTCCTGCAAACTTTAAATTAACCCGTTGTAAATATACTCGTGCGACAGCAACTGGCAATAAATGCGCTGTTTTGTGTGCACTTACCGCGGTGCACTCGATTAAAACATTCTCTACTTCACGGAACAAACATTCGCGAATAGAAACAGAACGATCCACGATAAATCTATCTATCTCGTTGAGGGCGCGATACACGATTGGAGCGTAATCTTTACGCTACGCAACTTGTATAATGGTGTGTTATCGCCATGGCAATAAAAATCCTCCTCTGGATCAAGCGCAAGCGATGTAATCAACAGTATTATATTTCACAGATAATTACGTACGTCGACTTGCGTTTATCTCCGTGATAATTATTTTTCTTCCACTTTTCTTCGGCTCGCTTGTTTTCTACACCGAGCATTACGCATCAACCCATTCTACAGTAACTGTAAAGTAAGTGAAATAAAATGTAAGCAATAAGCTAATTGAACAATTGGATTCTTATAGTCCAAAAATAATCGACTATAATTGGTCATCAATTTGTTTACTGCTTATGTTTTACATACTTAAGCATACTTTTACAGCTATTGTAAGATGTGTTTTAATATCCATTGCTTTTCATGTTCGACTATGGTTTCGCTTTGCTACTTATATCGACTTCCGCTGTGCCGAAGCAGATTATGTTGTTTAAGCTAATGACTTCCGAAGAGCCGTAGAATACATATTGTTCAATATTCATGAGAACCTGGGCGAACAAGTGCGGCGATACGATAGCAATGGCAAAATTCTCCGTATGGACGCGAGAAGCTCGAGTAACTTCGTGGCCTAGTTTCGTCAACTCTTCAATTATATGCTCTTTTTTAGTTGTGGGGTGTAACTAGTACGAGTAATGAAACTACTGAGCAATAGTAACTTATCACTTGCCAATTTATTATAACCCAGTAATACTTTTTTGTAAGGGACATTGTCTGTAAAAAAATGAAAACGCTAGAGTTGTTAAATCTTGAATTATTGCGTAAATAAAAACATAGACAGAATTCTTTTCTTAAAGCAAGATTTTTCATTTTCTTCTGAGTAAAAACACATTATCATTACTTACATTTCAAATTATCTATTTTTAAATAAAATTATTGTTTTTCTAATACAAAAAGTTTTCCAAATTTACCTTTTATATACTCAAAAATATTTGTACTAAACTAAGTAGCAAGAAATAAGGCTTATATTAATAGTTATTACTTAAAACTTGTCTTAAGTGAAATACTAAAGTCCGTAGGCTCCTGGATACTCGTTATGGCTATCCTTTTTTTATGGCGTAGAAGCGAGGAAAATCATGCCAATTTATGTGACGATATATATGGAAATAAAAGAATATATGCATAAAATAACACTCGTGATCGATTTAGCACACTTATAAAAATGTCCGGACGCTTTTCTTTAACCTGAACGATTAATAAATAGCCGTAAAATTAACGTAATAGAAATCATAAGAAAGGTAGGTTGAAAACGTAAGTTGCACGTTGCACTAATTTACGGCTATTTATTAATTATTCAGGTTAAAGAAAAGCGTCAGGACATTTTTATAAGTGTGCAAAATTGATTAGTTATTTTATACATATACTCTTTTATTTCCATATATATCGTCACATAAATTAGCAAGATTTTTCTCGCTTGTGACATCATCTAAGGACAGCCATAGTGAGCATCTTAATAATCGAATCTTATATTCAAGATCGTCTCAGTCCATCTTAACATGTTTTGTAACAAATGAAATGAGTCGTACAGCATTTGAAAATAAACTCAAGACGGTTTTTGATAAAAGATCCGATTGTTCATACAGACTTAAGATTTGAATTCAGATTTATCTGAAATTTTCAGAAAAATTTCAACTGCATCACAATTACGAATAGAATGTCATGTGCATTGTAGATTTTAACTGAAAAATTTAGATGTAACTTTAAATTCCATTGAATTATATAACAAACTGGAATAAGCACTGCTTTTGTTTCTGCCAAATGACTTCGTGAGAGACAGTATCTAAATAGTATCCCCGTCTTTATTTGTTTGTGTTCGTCTTTGTCTTATCTTAGCCTACATAGTCTAGATAGTATATTTGTAAAACAGAGAGCGAGATTCTACTTAGATACGGCCTTTACCTCATAGGCCTACTTAGGCCACGGTCCCTATCGCGCCAGTATTTCTTCTAGTATGTTATATAGTTCAATGCTAAATTCAGATCTGAGTATCTCATGTGAGGGAAATTTCAACCAATGACTATTAACTCTCTAACGGTTGGGATCGGATGCGATCCCATGGTTTGTTTATTTTACAGCGTGTATGCGCTGTTTCTCTTCTTAAGAGAGTCCTGGAGTCGTTTTGTTTTACTGTAAATTTGTTAATATTATACTCGTTACTGGTTATACAAAATTAAAAACCCTTTTGCATAATTACAATACACATATAATGTAGGCGAGGACAGTTGACTATTCGAAAAACGAAAAAAAATTAACCAATTATAAAATGTTAATTATTTAACAATAACTTATAATAATAACTTAATAAATGTTAATAATTTAATAACAAATTATAAAATGTTAATTAATTATAAAATGTTTCATGTTATTATTTACTTATTTTATCTCTTTTGTACATTGGTTGCATGAGAAAAATGAACAAAATAGAGCATAGAATCGGATCCAATTCTACTTTCTTGAATATCTTGAAAATTCATCTTACCCTTAAGTTAATACGAGCCTGAGTGTGCCAAGAAAAAGTTAATGGGAGGTTTATATTTATCATTTAACTAAAGAACATACTGAAATGAGCACTGGTGTGGTGGGGGTCATGGCTTGTTAGAGAGATTGTGCGACAAAGGCCATGTTTATGTAGTTTCGCTCTTTGTCTTACTAACATACTATATAGTCTATATAAGCTAAGATAAGATAAAGATAGATACAAACAGACAAAGACGGAAATACTACTTAGATACTTTTTCTCTCGGCATGAAGTCATCTGCCAGAAACAAAAACAGTGTTCATTCTAGTATATTCTTTAGTTCAATGATATTTATCTTACAGAAAATATCTACTCTACTCGGTGGCGTAACTTTCCAAAATTGTATCAATATTATATGTGAAAAAGAATCGTGTGCAATAGTATAGTATTCGCAATGAGATATTTACGATTTTCGATACATCAAACTTCCCTCACTTCTGTCTCATTCAAAAATAATATGATGTCCAAGTATAAAGTGTACGTGAAGTGAAATAACGATTCTGATAAAATATGATATCTTATCACGTTTATTTATATCTAATATGTTTGCGCCCGAAATGACTTTAAGATTTTAATTGTACAACGCGGAACACACACGATAGAGAAGATATTACGCTCACACAATCTTGTATCGTACTTTTCTCAGCGAGAAATTCGTCGGTATGTAAAAATACCGTATTAAAAAAAATCAACATACGATAAGGAAATTCTTCCTACTAAAAAAAAATACTTCTAAGAAAACATTTCGATTAGAATGTTGTTAAAAGAACATATTCTCATTATCAGGTACGCATTTGTCTAAAGTATTCGTCTAACGTGGAATGTAAATTGGAATATTAGGAATGTAGTAATTCTTATGTAACTGGTTACACATAACGACGTATATACAGTCGTCCAAGGAAGCATTGAATAACAAAATCGCTCGAGTAGCGAAAAAAAGTACAAATGAGCCGAGACACAAAGAACGCTTATCGTCTATATTATCGAGATCATTTCTTGCTAATAACGAGCACAGACACAACGAAAAAAAATTCGAGAAATTGTACGAACTGCGTTTGATAATGCTCAATTGCAACATCGAGCGTTACAATAGGATGAGAAACGTGGGTGGTCAACGTCTTAATCGTTTCGACACGATTATACATGCTTAATTAATTACATGACGCGATGCCGGCATACGTGGCGATGATATGCGTACATCGCATACAAATTGCGCTGTATCGTTCCACGGTTCGTGTAAAAAATAGCATACGCACCGTTACGTTCTCTGCCTCCCGCACACAATACGACTGTCCGGAGTGATTGCTCGACGTCACTGCGACTGTTGCGCGCCGTAAACTAGCGAAGTGGATCCAGTAATAAGGATGCCACGCGGGTCATCGAGTCGGCAGATATATTATATCCACTGACTGACGCGTGCGCGGCGAAATTGATAAATCTATGAGCTCTTATGGAAAAAACAAGTCGTTTATCAATCGTCTTCAAGGCGCGTTTCTTTTATTCTCTTTTACTTTTTTTTAACTCAACTTGTTCGCGTTAAAAATAAACAAGACTTCTTCCGATGATGCAACTGGGCCTAGTAAGGCCTGGGCCTATCCTCTCTCACCTGCATGTGGTACGCACGCAGATTATACACATGCACACAGGACCTACACAGTTTAAATGCTAGCTCCGAAGGGCAAATTTTTGAAGAGAGGTTTCCATGGCATGAATACTCTTGGTGGTTTGCCAGACCACCGGAGAGGAGCTACGAGCGTATGGAAATTTTCTTGCTCTGCCGGAAGTCGAACGTGGGACCTCCAATATAGCAGACAGGTGCGCCGTCTACTATGCCACGCTCAGCAAACAAGACTATCCTATCGAATTCTTGTATTTCCGAGACGAATTTCGGAATATCAGGATGTCTCGTCATTGGTACAATTAGATAACAATTCGAAGACTTGTGCGAAATAGAGAGGTCTTGAAGGTTAGTGTAAAGTCAGCCGTGGGTTTTGCAATGGTTTTATTACAAAATCATCACGCGACTGCGCTGGAGCGCATGACGTTCCAAAACAATAGCCAAATCGGCAACATCACGGCAACGGTGACGTTGAAAAACCAATTGTTGTATATCATGGAGTCTACGATACTGAACACGAGCGCCTGCTTGTTGGCACGATAGCCTCTGAGTAACAACGGAACAATCGGATCAGTAAAGTTAAAATACGTGTAACCTAGCACGACGATTGCCGACGCGACGAACGGATGTAGCACAATCCACGTGACGTACAGGCAGTTACGTAATCTGCAAAACAGCGAGATTGTTGATGGTGAATTCATTGACATTATCATCGCGATCATTCACTCATTGACTGACATGAATCGCAACCATTAATTAGATACAGATGTGACGTGGCAAGCATTTATACGACAGTCAGCTAAATAGATGGGTTCCAAGCGACCTTTCAACTTACCTGGACTTGGTGAACTCGTGACAAGGTGTTATCAGCAAGACAACTGGTACATAGACAACAGCTATCAGCAAAGCTAGTGAGAAGTTGTGCATTGCTATACACATCAACGCAGTAGCGAGCTCAATTGACGCAATAACGCATACGAGGGATATATTTTCATATCTAACCGACCTGGAAATTACACTTGTATAAAGCGACACGTTGAATAAAAAAAATCTCTTCTTGATTCCTTTTTGTTATTCTCACCTCCTCAAATACAGCCGCAACAGCAACATGAGCGTTGTGATGAGGGCGAAACTAATATACAGCGAATCTTCGGTATGCAGGTTCAGCACTTGCGAACCAATTAATGTGAAGAAACAAGGGGAAGCCATTACTAACACTCCGAATATGTGCGCCCACAATACCTCGGATGCGACACTTCCGATGTCGAATTCTTCAATCTGCGCTCGGAAAAGGAAACTTTACAAATAGATACACATGTCAGTTAACCAGAGAACTGCTCAATACCTTGTTTGTCGAGCTTTCCTCATCTTTTTTCGTCTCGTCGGAACTACTCGAAATCTGCAATCTTTGCCAAATGGAAAATGCTTTTATGAACACACTGGCGATTATTAGCACTAAAGGCCGCATATATAATCCTACGAGATAATTTTAATTTAGTCATTTACGAAAATAATTACATACTTATATATTAAAAGAAATTAACTTTTAAAAATAATAAAAATATCCAGAATTTCATTTGTTCTTTCTTCTTACCGATCGAAATATATCGATCAGTGGATGGCAATAGATAGAAGAAATATGACTGATGAAAACGTTCCAACAGATTATTAAGCGATCGCACTATACTTTCTACTACTCGCCCTACTTGATAAAAATTTGCTTCAGATCCTTGTCCAAATTTCTCGAAACCTTCTAATGTAATGGCTTCTATACCAAATCTATAGATATAAATTGTAATTATAATTAAATATGAAAACTAATACTATAAAAGAAACAGAATGAAAAAGATAGTCAAATATCAACCACTTCTTTTTAAGATTTACTTATTTTTTATTTAGAGATATTTCATTCTCTTATCATATTCTTGTCTCAATAATAGATTAATTGTCATACCTGTGAAAGAGCCCATGATTACCGGTTGGGATTCCAGTGGCTTGTGTTGCTATCATACTTACTAATGTATTAAAGTAGTACCACCAACTTTTGAATTTATCCCTGTAATTGATGTCAAATCGATGTTGGAACGACTGTCGAATTCCCTCTTTGGCTATCATATTTTGTGCTAAATTAAAGAGATCCAAATTAGGCAGTTGTCCATTGAGTCCTTCTATCTAATAATAGAAACAGTAATGTTATAGACACGTCACTTTAAAATATATAGCAGCATTGACTAGACATTTACCTTAACATCAATTGATGTAATTTTCATCGCATGGAATTCCAAGTTGATAGCAGCTTGAATAGATCCAGCTCTGCCTGACAAATCTCCTGCCATCAATATTCCTTCTTGACCACTAGTAACATCATGATATGCATCTAACCATGCCTGCATACCTAATTGCTCATGTTCTGTTACAAGAAATATTATATCCTTCGCCCAATATTTTTGTTCTGTAAATAGATGATTAAAGCAATTAAAATATAATATGCCATTTATTAATTGTTCAACAACAATATAATATTGAAGAAAAACTTACTTCTACAGAACTTTGCAAATGCTAGTAATAATGCTATCGAAGGTGCTGTATCCAGATAAATACTATTAATAGGTCTATATGGAACACTGACTACTATAGCTTCTGTACTGGATGCTCGTGGAGCTCTAACAATTCCATAAATATTTTGTCCTGTAAACTGTAAATGACATTTGTGTATATACAAACAAGAAATTATATCACATTTTAATGCATCATTTAAAATTACAATTGTTGAATCTATACCTTTTGCTCTTGGAATGGATAAATCAAGGAAAAATTATGCATAAATACATCTAAATGGAGCTGACTGAATTTTGCCAAGAGCCATGCATAAGGCATACTATCTGGATATCTCTTCATTTCGTGAATCAGTTCATGGTAGTATTGCTTGGATGTATGTTCCATATTACTCTCCTTTGTGACCAAGCCAGGCAGCAAGGCATTTTCTGAAAAGTAAGTATCTGGAAAGAAAATAAACGATTTGTGTGTGAAAAACTACACAATTGAAACTTAAACTACACAATTGAATTTCATAAAAAAATTATTTTTCGTCTTGCAGATACGTACTGTCGTTGAACGCCGGTAATGCTAAAAGCATCAACCATATCACTCCTCCCACGTATAACGTGAAGCACAACAGCTTTTCCCATTTTAATAACAACTTTATGATTTTGCCGGTTCCAGCTCTGGGATCTGTCAGTAAACCCATCTGGTTAGTTTCGCAAAACGTAACGTAATCGAAACTATTGCGGAGTTAGACGCGATAAATTCGCTTGTTACAATAATGTAAAGATATAACCTCTCAAAGACACAATCTCATAATTTCATACCGCGATTTAGACAAATACAGTTACATAAAAAGTCAAGTGTTCCAAGGAACTCCGCTGATCCATGCTCAATTTTACACAAATTTAATTATTATTTAATCCGACTTCTTTGCGCTTTAATTTACAGAAAAAATACATCGTTACGCAATAAGGACAGAATTATTTGGTCTGTTCTTTATAGTTGCACTGCTGAACTGGTGCAATAAGTTGAAATGAAACAAGTATATGTTTTCTCGCTTCAACTTATCGCACAGTAAAACGGTGTAGCTATAAAGAACAGATCAATCGACGCAACCGCAGTTGCTGCACTGGACCTGAGTTTAGGAGCGGGAAACTTTTCGAATACAAATTGAACGTTGGAGAAGATTTGTTTCTACGTGCATAGATATCATTTGCAAATCAAATTTTGGACCGACATGCATATTCAGCAATGCCTTCCATCTATAGTCTTTCTACAGATTTTTATTCTAATTATTGATGGTGATTCATGTAAGAATTTTTATATTTCTATGTTGTTTGTTTACCATGATGTTTACGAATTTGTTTGATCAAGTTTAAATTTACAATAAGCATAGTAAGAGTTTAATTTTTAACTTTGAGTATTAAATTGTAACATACTTTATAGCAACAATTGCTGTTATCATGGATGTCAAACCTATAGGCACGTAATATTTCTAAAATTTTATATGAATATTATTAAATATTAAAATAACATTCTTATGATATTCTAAAAATGTTATGCAATATTTTTAATATTATAAGAATGTTTTACTATATCTATAATGTTATATGTTCTTTTTATTTGATATTTTTAATATATTACAAAACTGTTTTTAGAATATTTAAAAAAATGTCTTAATAATATAGAAAAATATATATAAATAACACACACATATATATATATATAATTTTTTACTATAAAACATATTTTTGCACAAAATTATTTCGACTTTATTTATATAAGAAAAAAAATTAGTATTGCAGTACATATGAAAAAATTACAATTATTTAAGTGATATATATATGCATGAGGTTGAATTTTTAAAAAGTATAAAATATAAAAATAATATAAATAATATTATTAGAATATTATTAGAATATTATGTCTAATATCCTAAGAATATGCTCAGAATATTACTTAATATTAAATAATATTACGTGAATATAAGAATCATATAATTTTTTTTAGAGCGTAAATATGAAAAGTGAAAATTCTAATTGTTTTTAAATTAGAAAATTTAAACTTTTAACACGTTTATGTTATATGAGAATGTTCATGATCAATATCGATAGCTGGAAGAATATCGACCGCTGGAGGGGGGTAACGATGGTAATACAATAATACAGACATATTGTCGGTAAAACAGTACAGAATATCAGTCCACGCGCGCGTGATGTCAGCCTCCCTCATGACATCAACTCCCGCGCTTACAAATTCCCCTATCCCCTGCGTGATGTCAGCTCCCGCACCTATAAATTCCTCTTTCCCCGCGTGATGTCAGCCACTCGTCCACTTGTCCATCGTTAGCGATGACTTTTTCCCATTTTTCGGGCAGCAAACGAATTCCGCGGCGAAAGAATGACTTATCTTTGGAGGTGATCGAGTAAGAAACCCATTTTTCGACGTCTTCATAAGAATTGAAGCGTTCCTCAGAAAGTGCGTGTGCCATCGACCGAAACAAGTGGTAATCGGAAGGGGCACAGTCTAGTGAATAAGCAGCATGGGGTAGCACTTCCCAGCGAAGTGCTCTTAACGTTTTCTTGACACGTATTGTAACGTGAGGCCGAGCGTTGTCATGAAGCAAAATCACTTTATGCTGCCTACTTTTATATTCTGGTCATTTTTCGTGCAAGGCTCGACTCAAACGGATAATTTGGTTTCGGTAGATATGTCCTGTGATTGTTTGACCAAATTTCAATAGCTTATAGTACACTACACCCTTCTGATCCCGCCAAATATAGAGCATTGCCTTCCTTCCATGGATATTCCGCTTTGGCGTCGATGTTGAGGATTGGCCGAGGTCGCAAATAGTTTTTCGACGTTTGGAGTTGTAAAAATAATTTCCATTTTTCATCTCCAATGATGATACGATGCATAAATCCCTTTCTTTGCTGCCTAGCAAGTAGAATTTCGCAGATGGTTTTTCGCCTTTCAATATCTCTTGGCTTGAATTCAGATGGGACCCATTTTCTTTCCTTGTAGACCTTTCCCAAGGCTCCGAACGATCGGAAATGACAGATTGAGCACAATTCAATGCAAGTTGTTTTTGCGTCTGACATGGGTCTTCATCTACCAATGCCTGCAATTTTTCGAATGCTCTTGGCCGTCCAGAACACTCTTTATCCTCTACATCAAAATTACCACTTTTAAAGCGTCGATACTATTCTCTGCATGTCTTATCGGAAGGAGCACTATCACCATAAACTTCTACAAGCATTCGATGAATTTCAGCTGCAGTTTTCTTCCATTTGAAGCTAAAGATTTCCACTTCGCGCAAATGACGTTTATTTGGCTCAAATTTCGACTTTTTCGATGCAGTAAGAAACAATGTTGTTGATGCGAACGTATACCGTAATTACTGAATTTTATTAACAGCCAATTCACCGTTTTCAAACTTTTCGGTTAACCAGGACGCTCTTTGTCATTCACATCCAAATCGTTATCTTTGAATAGTCTAAACCAATCTCTGCAAGTTGTTTCAGATAGAGCATGCTCTCCATAAGCCTACACTAGCAAACGATGACTTCCAGCAACAGATTTCTTGAAATGAAAGCAGAAAAGTAATGCTTCCCGTGCATTCTCTTTTTTGGGTACAATACCTGACATTTTCAATGCAATAAAAAATTGTGTTTTTTACACTACGATCTAATGTTAGACACTAATTATTAATGCTTAGTAACAGTACTTTATATACACTAATAGTTACTTTCGTCCGTGTTGAAGTAGCACAACTACGGACCTTTATTAGTCAACAGCGAGAATTAATTCAAGCACTTAATGGATCTCTTATAGATCAAACCTAATCGCGATTTTTTTTAATTCTTCGCGTCGCAATCGCAATTTTGTTGATTCTTTTTTAGCTCACAATGTATCGAGAACTGATTTATCTAAATGCAAGTTATCTCAACTTGGAAGCGAGTATAAAGGATTTATTATGACGACTGTCGGTGGTTTCCGATGTCAATCATGGTCCTCTAAACAACCGTTTTATAAAGTAAGTTTTTCAATACGTTTTATGGTCCCTTGGTGTTGTGTTTGAGAATGTTTTTTTATTTTATATTTATTTAATTATATCAATGAGTATTTCCTTTTTAGGGGACATATTATCGCTAATCTTGACATATATTATTAACACTTTGCCGTCCGCATGTTTCATCAGGATTTTTTTGTTTGGCGCCGTTTTGTTTCGAAGTTTTCGGGAGATCATAAATCGTCAGTTCTTATTAGTTTTCAATCCTGTCCCGCTATTTTCATGAAATTTCGAGGATATATGTAAATAAATGTAACATTTTTTAATATTATATATTTATTTATTTATTAATATTTTATTGGGTACTTAGTATTTCTCTTTTAAACGATATGAAGCAAAACAATCTCCGAGGTATAACGCGACTCCACAAGACTTACACATTAAATTTGTTGTCCTTCTTTTTTTGTTTTTGGAACATACATGGCACTTTCTTCGTTTTTGTTTATCGGTTTCGGAAATTTGTATTAGCTGGTGTTGCTTTAGCTGACCGGAAAGTCTGTCGATCGAATCATGATGTAACTGTAACTTATTGTTACTTAAACAGAACACAAACAGAACACCAACAGTACACAATTAGAACACAAACGGCACCACAGTGCTGTCATCGGCCTTTGCGTGACAGTTTTGCGCATGACATCAACGTGGTGTCGCCGGCCTTTGCACGATAGTTTTCGCGGGACACCAACGTGGTGTCCCCGGACGGCATAGTGTTAAGATAATAAGTAATCTTGAAAAAATTCAGTTGGTGGTCTATATGTTTTTACTTTCCTTTTTCATTACTAGATCAGTACCAACATAACTGATGCAGATTTTCCAGAAAGATCTGTGAAGTTGGCTAAAAATTATTGTAGAAATCCCACCCAGGATCTAAGAGGACCCTGGTGTTATACATTAGAACCTACAGTTATCGATGATGAGTGCGCTATTCCGCTTTGTAATTACGGAAGTAAGTTAAATGATAACATTAACTTCTTTTATTTTCAATGAACAAACGGATTTATGCTATCTTCTGTAAATAAAATTAAAATGTATTATTTTGCATATGAAAGATATATCGTTTGCATTAGATTGTATTATAACGGGACCAGGAGCTGAATACGGTGGAAGTCGTAGTTTTAGTGCTTCAAGAAGAAAATGTAAATCTTGGAACAAAAGATACAAACTTGGCAATGCAAAAGCAAGTAAATTAAATCTTATTATTGTGAATTATAATGGAAGATGTGTCAACAAGTAATAATAGTCTCTTTCTTATTACTTTATTATTTGCTAATTGTTTTTTCAGAGTATTAAATTCGATAATAAACATTTCCCTGACGGATCAAGGACAAAAGCAAATAATTTCTGTAGAAATCCAAATGATGATGTTGGTGGTCCTTGGTGTTATGTGGAGGAAAAAGGTTCTGAATTAATAAGAAAAGAATACTGCGAAATTCCATTCTGCGATGACCGAGGTTTGTACAGTCAAATAATGGAAAAAAAACTAAAATTTTGAAAATGTTAAAAATTAAAGATTATCATCAAGAATGAATATTTGTCATAATTTTTTTTATTAAATAAAACATTATAAAATTCTAATAGTTATTTCTATGTTTTAGATTGCTTAATGTATTCTCGAAATTCATCAACCTATTCTATACTAACAAGATTAAATAATACTTATGGAAATATATCCTTTTGGATAAAACTCTGGAATCCTCTCGATGAACAAAATGTATATGATTGTCATTAAGTATTTGATAGATCAAATAACTCAACACATGATTAATGAAATTATTTGCATATATCCAGGCAGAAGCTAGGATCTTACTAAGTTTACTTCCAATTCCGTCTTCTGCCGAGAAAATTGCCCAAAACTGGAAAGCTGGAGTAGAACTTTTAATTTCAAACAGTGTTAGCGGTCAAACATATCCTGTTACTGATGTTAGTACAAATAGCTAAGAATTAAATAAGCAGCATATAATAATAATAATAATAATAAAATAATAAAGTATTAATATGACACATTTTATTGATTATTGAAATATATTTTTCAGAACAGACATGTTTTCCAAGATACGCCCCAGATATTACTTAGTTCTAACTGGACTGGTTTATGGATCACATGGGGTGGTGGTTTTATATCACTCGGAATTCACGGTACATCCAAGCCATTGATTACGGATGAGTACAAAACAAAAAATAGTATTTCGAGTTTATACCCCGACCATTTTCTGCATTACGGCGTTATGGGCACTGGTGTATTATGGAGCACAGAATTTTGTCAAAATTGTACAGTGAAGTCCTCTTAACCCGGGAAAAAAGATTACATATAATCATATAAAATTACATATAATTATACCAGGTGTAGAGGTTTGAAACCGGAAATTTTTTGTAAAAATTACACGTCTGTTATTTGAAAATGATAAAAAATATTTTATTCAAAATAATATCCATTGCTATTTATACATTTTTCCCACTTCTCCGGCAGTTTATGAATGCCACGCCAAGAAAACATTTCTTCTTTTGAAACGAACCAGCTATCGAGCTATTTTCGTACATTTTCATAATTTGGCTCCCGAGTTAGCGTCACGTTTTTCATGGATTTACATAAGTTACTAGATAAGTTTTGCAATGCGCGCTTTAATTTCATCGTGCAGTTTTAAAGTTAGTATCACTGACAAATACGTCTTAATAAAAAATAGATTGTTAAGTTTAGTTATTCCGCGTCAAATCGTTCGTAAACATTGAGCGTTTGAATCAGTCGAGTTCGTCAAGTATAGCGTCGAGAAAAGAAATTCGTGCGGTAATTAAATACAATTTTGTGAAGGGTATGACGATTGATGAGTGTTTGAATTCAAAATTGTTTTGGGCAATGACGGTCCACAAGCGTAACAGTCAAATGTGGCTATTTTAATATGAATTAATGCCAATGCAAGTGCGAAAATCTCAATCAATAAAAAAAATATGATCGTCAAATTTTCCATGATTAGAGGTATTTTGACGCGAATCATTTTGGAAAATTAGCGAACGATGACTGTCCAATAATATACAGATGCACGTTTAAATCATATTATAGCAGAGTTAAAAATCCGCGTTTATATTCAAAAATGATCCCTTGGATTTTTCACCACGATAATGCTCGACCACATACTGACTACATAGCTGAACTGACTCAAGAATTTTTAAAGAATACTGGCTTAAAATTGTTTAAGAATTTACCTTAAAGTCTTGATTTAGCACTCCGTGATTTCTGTTTATTTCCTTTTATTAAAGAAAAATTGGAAAGACGGAGATTTTTGAGTGATGAGAAGCTTACAGCGTCATGAAACGGCGTACCATTTGTGCGGATCAGTCTCCAGAAAAGTAACAGCAAATTTTCAATGACTGGTTTATTTGAATGGAGAAATATATTAAATGTAATGGTGATTATTTTGAAAGAATGTAAATAAATAAACTATACTGGAAAACTTATCTAGTAACCTATGTATTTCCAACGTTTCGTGAACACTTCTTCGGAGTGAAGAATGACCCGAAATTCGGAAGCCAAATAAAATATTTCTCCAAATAATATCACACTGTGTATATTACTTCATGTGGAGAATAAAAAATAATTTTGCTAAGATTTTTTATGCATTTAGATTGCGAAAGTTATATAACTTTTGGGGATGAGTTCTTAACTGTTTGGCCGATGCGAAAGAATAACGATACACAGGATGTGCGTTTTTACGTTCGAGCTAACCGTGATATAAAAATACGATTATATCAGAGTCCTGCAGTACGGTTTCCTTGTTTCACAGTAAGAAGAAAAACTTTTAAATTTGCTAACGTTCAGATAGAATTTAAAATAAAAGGTGGGAGGATCGCAAATCAAAAGTATAGTAGATATATTTTTATTCTATAGGTGGAAATCAGACATAACGACATTATATCTTTATTATATCAAGAAAATGAGATAGCAGTAAAACAGTATTTGAAAGAAGTTATAATTAAAGAGTCGCTCGATTATTGGGCTTGGAAAGAGTTCACTATCAGGTCTCTTAAAAATCATGTACATATAATTAATTTATTTCATTGTGTTTTCAGATTTGTGTTATATTAATAAGTTTTCGCTTATGACATTAACAGCATTTTCGGGACATACTTGAGTTTAATTTCACAACATGAATCTGAGAGTAAGGAAATTTTCTTTGTAAATCATAATTTACTGACTACTTTACGTTGGTTCAGTGTCGGGAGTAACGGAACGATAGCATATTGGACAATTTTTTGTCCACCCGACCGTAAGTATATTTTTTAGAAAAAAATTTTTATTAGTATTTATTAAATATATAATTTTGTCTTAAAATAATATTCTAAACAGCAACGGAAGCAATAGAAGATCCTCAGCCTCCAAACTGCATTCATAATACTGCCGATTATCAATATCATGGAACTCAATGGACAAGTGAAAAAGAACTTCCTTGTGTACCATGGGTAGAAAAAGAGGTATACACTATCATCGACTATAGTTGGATAGTAACTAATTAATCAGTTAAAAATAAAGTTAAAAGTTAAAAAGTTAGTAACTTTTAACTTAACTTAGTTAATTTTAAAATAGGTTAAATGGGTTAACCTTTAATTTAAACTAATTATTTTTCCTCTAACTTTTAACTTTGTTTTTATATAAGTTAAAATGTTTTCCAATTATTACTTTCTAATAAACAACACAGAGAGATACAAAAGCTACATTCAGCGAATAAAGCAGATTATTGAATACTTAGTGAATATTATCTGTGATTGGAGTATTCTTTAGATTTTTGATGCTTCTTTCGAACCTATACAGAGAATGGAAATTTACAAAATTCTATTTACAGAATTTATATCGACCATAGTCGAGATATAGAGATGATTGACATTACCCATTGACGAGTATTACTCCATTTTCCTTTATATCTAAAAATTTTTGTTCGGGTGGGGTGAGGTTCTTTTCCAACTACAATTAAATATGTCGTCTACTAATATTAGAAATTATGTTTATTCATTTTCTAATGAAAATACGATGGTGCGCTTATTAGATACCGGACAACGAGAAGATTGCCGACAATTTTGTCGATAGATCTATCACCAAGGTTTTAAACAGATGTAGGAATCCAAGTCATGATCCCAGTGGGCCTTATTGTTATACGATTTCCACTTCACATGCTACGGACGTCACAAAACAATATTGTTCCGTTCGAGTTTGTAGATCATCAGGTAACTATCATTATTAATATTTCTGTTCCGTCGCTGTTATCGTCATGTTTGAATACGTTAGAAGAGAGAAAACGGATGCCCGAAATTCATGCGACATTTGTTGAAATAGAAAGATATGTCTATAAAACAATATTTGCGACCGATTGAGTATATTTGTTAAATATTCTGAAAACTTTCTTATGTTCTGACAACCAATAAATAATCATAAAATTAACATGACATGCCACTTTCCTTTTTAGCTTACTTTCTTTCATCATTCCGTTACGTTAATTTTATGATCATTTAATGATTTTTAAATAAAAAAAAATTTATGCGGGATATTTACAAATAATTACTAAATATTTGTTTGAATAAACAATTTTATAATTAAAATTATTATAAATTATGTTTAAAATTAGTATATATGTACTTGAATTGAATAAGTAATATTTAAGTAAATGTATTTATTTCGTGTAAGTTATTTTTGGTCCAGTGTAGAACCCTTTTGAAACCTCGCGGTACTTGAGGCCCTGTGCTTTCGTATTTATAATACATGTAATATTTATCATACATGTAAATAATGCTAATTTTGACTTGAATTATCTCAGCTTTAATACGGTCAACTTTTTTCTAATTTTACATGTGTAAGTTTCGATTGCTATGTTTTGACATATTAAAATTTGAAAAGATTCCTAAGAAAATAAATTTACGAACCACCTGCCTTCAATTACCCATTAAATTTGAATTTTATTATATACCTGGATATATTTGCCAATTTCATCATTACGACTTTCTACGTAAGTAATACCAACAAAACTATACAGGGTCTGTCCAGAAAGTAATGTCATTGAGTCGATTAAAAAAAATTTATTGAACTTTTCGTTACAACACATCAAAATTCTACAAAATAGGCTCCTCCTGCGTTGACACGTCGGCTCCAGCGAGTTTTCCAGGCATCGAATGCGCCACGGTAGGCCTCCTTTGGAATGTCCTTTAAAGCCGCGGTGCAAACTGCTTGGATCCCCTCAATGGTCTCGAAATGCTTTCCTTTCATGGGCCCTTTCAGGCGTGGAAACAGAAAGAAGTCGGGGGGAGAGACGTCCGGACTGTACGGAGGCTGGGGAATCGTTGGTACCCCTACTTTGGCTAAGTAGTTGGTGACGAGGAAGGAGCTGTGGGCCGGCGCGTTGTTGTGATGCAACTTTCAGTCCTTTACGATGTCCGGCCGGACGCCTTGAACCCTAATAACTGTGTCTAATAACTGTGACAGTAAACGGACATTCAATCGTCGGTCTGTGTTCAAAAGTTCTTTCACTCGCGTCACATTGTCGTCCATGGTGGTCGTCGATGGCGCGGGCTTCGTCGTCGACCTCTTCCCGGCCTTCCAAAAAAACCTTGTGCCACCGGAACACTTGCCGATCCGACAGGACATTTTCTTTAAAAGCTGTCTTGATCATTGGAAGAGTTTCCGCCGCGGTCTTGCCAAATTTAACGCAAAACTTGATCGCCATCCTTTGTTCTAACGAGCGCTGCATTTTTACTTGCACGAGGTCACAAAACGACTTCCACGGAAACGCATGTCCTTACTATGCAGCTGGCGGGAGAAGACTGAGTGACTCAACATTCGTTAGCTGACTTCCCCCTCTACCATTCCCAACCGATTCGAGCGCGCTCTGACAGTCAGTCGCGTAAAAAAAAATCACTGACATTACTTTCCGGACAAACCCTGTATATTGTACATTTTTTACTAGAAACCATCAAACAGAGTCATTATACTATAGGTTACTTTTCGATAATCACAATACTGAAAATCTATTGTTTATGTTGCATATATTATAAATTTACAATACTGACAGTAAATATCGGAATGCAGCCATAATTACATCTTCATACATGTTTCTTATTTACATACGCTTTTCGCAGAATGTCGGATGGCAGGGACTGCTAATGATTACATAGGTACCCTATCGACGACTCGTTCAGGTCGAATATGTGCAAAGTGGTTGAGCGATTACGATCTCGAACAGATGCAAAAACCTAACGCATCGTTGACGACCGATATTCCTTCTGAGACTTCGAATATAACTCGTATAAAATATTCTTTGATGAAGCAAAATATCTCATTGAGATCATTATTCACAAAATCGCCGTTGCGTCCATCGCCAAAATCACTAACAAAATCAAAATTTACGGCTGTAAAACCTATTCATAGTGTCAATCAAGCGTATTGGAATAACAGTCTCTATCCTGAGCATAGTGTTCGAAATGCCAGTAACTATTGTAGAGATCCTTCACGCAATATTGCTGGTACTTGGTGTTATACGACGGATCCATTAGTTCCGCAAGATCTTTGCGATGTAAGAGATTGCGAGAAGCCAGGTAAAGCTTATTATATATAAATATACTTAACAGAAAATTCACATCGAGGGTGACAATTGGAATTGTGATTAAAGTAAATGGTTATTACTTCACAATAAATAGGTCGAACAAAATGAATGAAGCATTTTGTAGTGTAGAATTAATTAAGTTTTAGTTTTTTTATATCCTTCGTACCTACCTGAATAGTTAAGACGTGTGAATATTGTAATGTTATAATAATAACAGTAACAATATATCGATAAGTTTCGGAGGTCGAGAAAAAAACAAGTGCGCAAAAACAGAGTGAAGAACGTGAGTGGCGTGACAACGAAAAATCAACAGATTGAAACGAGACACGACGAGGCTCGGAAGTGTGTACAATACATTAAACGCTTTTCTTTGATTTTTCCTCGATTCTACGATTTGAATCAGTTTTCTTTTGAAACCTCTCCTATCCCACTTAAAATATCCACTACAGTAGAAGACTTGTCTTGAAATTTTATTACAATAATAAAGTATAAAACAAATATATAAAGTTTTATTAATTTAAATACATGATATTAAAAAAGGAGCAAAAATGTGCTTAATGCGTATAAACTAATGGAGTATGCTTTCAAAATGTTGTATATCGGAATCGGTACGGAATTGCAACCGTTTTCAACAATCTTCAAATATATTATATTAAATATATTATTCAACATGTCTGTAGGAATGTTGCGAGTACATTTTCCAAAAATCATCTATCAACTCTTCGGTGTTTCGAGGCTATACAATATAACATTTGTTTTTGACATATATCCAGAGGAAAAAATTACACGGGTTCAAATCGGGTGTATAAGGAGGCTATTCTACATTTTCATGAACAAATTTCGGATATCCTAACTCAATCATCCTGCTGCCGTATACTTTATGTAGTAAATTCCAAAAGTTTCCAGCCTGACTAATTTTTAGAAATGATAGAAAGAAAATAACAGTATTATTTTTCAACATAATCTCTATTTACTTCAGTTCATTTTTCATATCTTTGAATTAACATTTCTACGTTCTTGAAAAAATAGTCCGAACTTCTGTCTGCAAAATGATCAAGAGCTGTATCTTACACTTTATTGTGGTCCAAAAATGATCTTTTTCGAAGCTTTTTCTTCAATTTTGAGAAAAGTAGTCACTTGGCACTAAATCTGGGTTGTAGTGTGGATGTTGAATCTTTCTGACGCCACTGTCCTTTACTGTAACCTTAGCAACAACAGTCATATGAAATTGACTGGTCTCAAATATCGGAAACTAATTAGTTAAATGATTGCCAAAATCGGAAAAAGGAAATATAATTATTTACTTTGGACACAATCCCAATAGTCACCCTATATAAGTACTCGTGAATATCGGAGAACGTTATATAAAATATTTTTATATTTACACATATAATTAAATTATAAATATAATTACAAATATAATTAAATTTAATAAATATTTGTTAGATGAAATACCCTTAAATAAAATACAAAAGAATTGAATATAAAAATAATTTTAAATTTTAGATTTTTAAATAGATGTTTACTTCAGATTATATTGGTTTTTGAAAAAATTTAGACTTTTTACGTAAATTTTGGATTTATTATAGAAGTTGCATTAACAATTAATGACAGAAAAGTAAATTTTTCTTTATTAGTCAAGTAAAAATGAATTTAAAAACATTTCAATAATATCTTTAGGAACACATATGAGAGAAGGTTTAATTCTCCTTCGCTTTTAAGTGTCAGGTTCTTTCAAGTTATTTGCTAATAAAAAATTGTTATTAACTTTGTAGAGGAATGTACATTTTTTGTGAAAGGACTCGGCATTGGACGACGTTTATATGTTTTGCCGGAGCATCGTACGGAAGGTTTGCATTTTTCGTTGAAAGCATGGGAACCTGATCGGCCTGACTCCATAACGTTTGTATTTACCGCCGATGACGGATTGAAATCTCGTTACATTCTCAAGATTGGAGCTTTAGATAATGAAAAAGTTCTTCTCTATTATCAATCGGAAGAAAAAGGTAACATGGTGTCTTGAGCGTAATATCGAGAAATTTGTTTACCGATCTAATATTTAATTACTCTCTCTCTCTCTCTCTCTCTCTCTCTCTCTCTCTTTCAATTTTTACACTCATAAGAAATAGCCTTGGTGAAGAAAAAAACGTTACCGCATTTGTTGTACCTTGGCAAATGGAGCAGCTTTGTTATTCGCATACCTCGAGGACGCGTTCTTATTTATTACTCAGCAGTATCGGATCCACTTTTCGAATGGGAACATCCCGAGCCAGCCAAAGCTTTCTTACCGGTCTATTATTATTATAATAGCGAAAATGGACACGCGATAGGAGTCGCTTTTGATTGTGCCACAAGTATGTGCCTCAGTATTTTACAATCCTTAGAAATCAGCTCTTCGCGGTTGGATTTGATGTCTTTGATTTCTCTCGTTTTATAACTATATAGGATGTCACATAGAGAATACGCAAACCGAACGCTACACGAGAATATTACCGATATCGACGTGGTCTAAGGAAAACGTGGTCAGACCTAATAAATTAACACTGATGATACGTGCTAAAGGAGTCGTTTGGATACCCTTATTTCTGTTGCCCGCGACACCGGGGTAAATAAGAATAATTGTTTCGCAAATTTTTCATATATTCGTTCCTATTGCGTATCTTGCAGATTTTATGAGCTCATGCTCAGTGAACAAAGCCGGTGGATACATTTTTTGAAAAACACATATCCCAGCATGAAAGTTTATCACAAACAAAAAACCCGCAAGCCGATATTTACCACCAATTCCTGGACGAATCTCACCATAAAGTAATTCAGCTGAAAACGCGCTTGTGTTTCATTGAATCTGATTTGAACACGTAACTTTATCAATGATATTTTGGTATATATTTGGTATATATTTTGGAAAGATGGTCGGGATATACAATCAACATATTCTGCAACGAGACAAACGTATTTCATTATGTGCATCGCCGACCACTCATCTTCTACTTCTTTTCACTTGCTGTGGACGCAGGAAGTTGGGCAACATGGAGCGCAAACTGTATACCGTCAGGTACAATTATTTCATTAAGACGGTATTTATATAACTTAATATAGGGTGTTTCTTGTAATCTTAATTATAATTAAAAATGCAACAAATTGGAAATAATTTTTCCCCACCGAAAGTGTCGAGGGAAATCATTATTCATGCTGAAGTTTCAATTTTCAACATATTTTTGTAACTAAGGCACAAATATTTAACTTTATTAATTTAACTAACATTAAGGCACAAATATTTAACATTATTAATTTAACTAACATTTTAAACTTGCTGTCAGTCAAGTATTACTGCTGTATTTTGTTAACACAGATAGAAATGATTAATTTTTCAATTGTTACTGAGTGACAAATTACAAAACTGAAAATTAGTATTAGCAATTATTATTATTATTATTCATAAATTAGTTTATATGTGTTCGATAAATGCTTCTAACGTTTCCTTGACAAGTTTTGTACGTGAGGCCGTGCGCTGTCATGAAGCAAAATCACTTCATACTGTCTCGTTTTATATTCTGGTCGTTTTTCGTACAATACTTGGTTTAAATGATGGATTAACGGTCAGTGATTATTCGTCTTTACTGTTAGATCTTTAAATTTAGACCAATTATATTGACGAATTATTCAATTATTGTACAATCGTTGTTTTATGAATACAACTTTTGTTTAATGTTCAAATTCGTGGTTTTTCATATTTTTATATAATATATTGTTTTAAACTTCTTTTCTCATATTCTTTTTCAACTGTTCACACACAGATATAGATGGTGTTCCTTTAGATGGCGGATGGTCCGAATGGGGACCCTGGGCGTGCAGTGCTAGCTGTAATGGCGGCATAGGGACCAGAAAACGATATTGCAATTCACCGGAACCTAACGTGAAAGGTGAACCATGCATAGGGCCAAGCAGTATGACCGGTCGTTGCAACATGATTCTTTGTGGCGATATATCCGATGGTATATGTTGAATATATATATATCAGATTGTTCGAAAAGTTCGTTTCAAATTTCGCATGTTCTGCATTGCTACCAGGTGTAGAAGTATGAAACCGGGATTTCCCTATAGATGGTGCTAGCCATCAGTTTAGGGACCGTAAGACCGCTTCTGCAGCGCCATCATCTTCCTCTAACAGCTGACGAAGATTTTCAACACACAACAACCCAAGTTCCATACACCGGTATATTTTTCTATGACCTTAAATATTTCGAGTTTTGTGCCTACGAACTACGATTTGCGGACAGCATTGGTTTTTCGTTATCATTTGAAGAAAACTGTTGCGCATCGAATGCTTGTCGAAGCTTACGGTGAACATGCTCTTGGTAAAACACAGTGTTTCGAGTGGTTGAAAAAATTCAAAAGTGGTGATTTTGACGTGAGAAACGAAGAGCGTGGGAAACCACCGAAAAAGTTCGCAGACAACGAATTGCAAGCCTTATTGGATGAAGATGATACTCAAACTCAAGAAGAACTCGCGGATGAATTGAATGTGACGCAGAAAGCTGTCTCAATTCGTTTGAAAGCCATGGGAAAGATTCGGAAAGTGGGAAAATGGGTTCCGCATGAACTGAATGAAAGACAGCAAGAAAATCGAAAAACCACTAGACATACGATACGCGGGAATTATCGCACTATTGCCCTGCTATCACATGCTAGTAAGATTATGCTTCAAGTGATCCATGAACGCCTGAAATCATATCCCCTATCAGAAATTCCTCAGGAGCCGGCAGACTTCGTCCCAGAGCGGGGCACGCGCGAGCAAATTCTAAACGTACGGCAGATTATCGAAAACTCAAGAGAGTACAATACTAAAACATGTATATGTTTTATATACTACAGCAAGGCTTTTGATTGCATCCAATGGGAAGAAATATTGCGGTATCTCTCCGAAGTGGGAACCCCATCATACCTCATCACGCTAATAAAGAATCTCTACAAGAGCAATACCGGTTGTGTAAAGCTGAATGGACAACTGACAGATTGTTTCCATGTTAGTAAGGGCGTAAGGCGTACTTAGTCCTATTCTCTTCAACATCTATGAGGAAGACAACGGAAAGGTGGAATGGCGGCGTGTCTGTGGGTGGCAGGAAGATTAGCAACTTGAGGTGTGCTGATGACACTACCCTCTTTGCCAGTGCGAAAGAAGAACTAGTAACACTGCTACAAAAAATGGGACAGGCGAGTCTCAGTGCTGGTCTCAGAATAAACAAGAGCAAAACGAAAATAATGATCGTGGACAGACCCAATAACAACCGCATAGAGATTAAACAAGTAAACAACATAGAAGTGATCCAGAAATATCGTCTATCTCGGAGTCTTAATCACAAACACCGGTGGATGCAGCGAGGAGATTACGAGAAGAATAGCTGTTGCCAAGGGCGCCACGGCAAAGTTAACAAAGGTCTGGAAAAGCCACGATATCATGATACCAACCAAAACACGTCTGGTGGGAAGCCTTGTCTTCCTGTACGGATCTGAATGCTGGGCACTGAAAGGCACTGATAAACATGCTATTGATGTATTTGAGATGTGATGTTGGAAGGTACTTATTGATTTGCCCTCGTATTTTCCTCTTAAAAAAATTTTTTCGGGGAAAAAATTTGGGTCATTGGAAGCTCTTAATATTCATTTCGATCAATTTTTCGCCAATAAGAAAACTTCGTTGTGAAGCAACAGCATTATGCAACTATCAAAGAGATGGGTCAATGTCCTTCAACAGAGTGGTATAAGTTTGCTTCAATAAAAGGCTACTCTTTGAGTAAAACATTTCATTCTGAACTTACATTGTAGATTTGAAACGAACTTTCCGATCAATCTTATATTTATTTTTTTACTTAATATGTATGTAACCGCTTGAAAGTACACTATTTCTTTTCAAGAAGAACGTATGATATTTTTTATTTCCTTTGTAGATACCGTGACTTTGATAAAGAAGGGAATCGCGCAAAATTATACTGCTCTTACCGTGCAAGAAGGAGAGCCGATATCGCTCCCTTCTGTTTCAAATATCGTGAATATCATTAGAGTCGAATCGCCCGATTCGGAGCTACAGTGGTCTCATAATGGCATTTTCCTTCAAGAGGAAGAGCATAGATTAGAAATTAAGGATTATGAGATCAGTACGTAGCATAATATTAACATATGTATATAATTAATTAAAACACTTGACGCTTAGATATTTCTTTCTCCGGCGTAAAGTAAGTTAATAAATATAAATTTATCTCTTTCAGTATTAAGTGGAGAATTTTCTTCTTTCAAGGCTTCTGTTCCTTGCCACAGCCGTCTTGATTAATGAAGTCAAAAGCAAAAACTTATATTTAAAATTCTTACGAAAATTCTGCGTTAAATAAAATAACAAACGCCATTACCATCATCTTTACAAATATCATTACGTGATTAATATCACATGAACACTAGATATACACAAATGATGTGTGCACATTCTTGACGTGATTATGATTGATGTTACTATTATATGTAAGATATTTTCCCATCATCATAACATGAACAACATCTCAGCAGTATGTGTGCACGCATCAGTTTCTATTTTTGTCCTTACGTTTTGATTATTGTGAATACAAAATAAGACCAGATTGAATATATTTTCCTGAGTATCTAGCTATTAACTTTTAATTTAGGCCACGCCAGCGACATATTTCTATTAGATATACTTCTACTAGATATATTTCTACGGAGAAAAAGATTTCATAATATATCAATTTTACAATTATTTATTGATTTATTGATTGTTAGAATAAAAAGAAAATTTTCCATATATTATACAAACGTGCTCAATCTATCACAACTGTCATTTATAAACACATCTATTTATTTAATTGTATTTCGTAAGAATTTTAAATATGCGTTGTTTGACTTCTGACATCATCAAGCGAGACAACTACATTATGGAACCAGGAGCTTTACAAACATGAATTTGCTTTTTTCAGTAATAGGTAGAGCAATGTTGAACGACTCGGGTGTATATACGTTCACTGTGCATCGAATAGACGGGACGTATATGATATTTAAGGTAGTGACATTGGCAGTAATTCCAATAAAGGAAAGTGTCACTATTCGCGAAACTCTCTCCATGAACGTAATATGCCATTGCATTATCCTCGGCTACATATATTCTGATCTGAAGATATATTGGATTATCAATGATAAAGTGTGGAAAGATTACGGCGTCACGTTGCCCGTAGCTGTGAATGTAGATCACCTCTCAGCTGTAAATAAATCTCATCACGGTACGTGGAAGTGCATCGTGGAGCAAGTTGACCTAAAATTCAGATGGACAACAAACGTGATCCGTCTCAAAGGTACGAGAGAGAGAGAGAGAGAGAGAGAGAGAGAGAGAGAGAGAGAGAGTAATATTTAATTGTTCATTCAAGTCCATAAGCTTGATTTTAATACATATGTTGATTAAGAAAGTTTAAAGCGTACTCTCTAGTCATAATGTTTTATTAATTAAATTGTTTCGGACAACTAAAAAAATAATTTTTCAACGTTTTTAGTAAAGTGAAATCCATAAATGTTATAATATGTAATCACATTTTATTTTAAAACTTATCAAATATTTAAAAAATGACAAAAAAATTATAAGACCCGATTGCATCGAACTCCGAATTAAGTGATAATTACAGAGTCAACAATTAAATTATCTGCTGCAGAAGAAAATGAAAAAGAAGAAAAGATAAAAATTCACTTATCGCTTAACTTAATCGGGGTTTAATATAACCGAATTTAAGACTTTTATTTGATGTAAGTACCAATAGTAATAAAAGAAATATAAACATAAATCCCGCAAGTAAAAGATTAGCAGTATATCGGCAGACTAGTAGCAGATTTTATGAGAACACGTGAGACTGGTATCAATTGCATCTGCATATAACTTCCTACCAGAGCATGCACACACAACCGGACAGCAGATTGATGACAGAAATCGACCAAATTCTTCTGTCAAAGCAAGATTTCTATAATCTTCCGTCAGATCTCTACAGACTTTGCTTGGCTTCTGCTGTCAATCTGCTTGTATTACTTGTAAGAATGTTCTGGAGGCAGTTTGGCAACATATTCAAATAGAATATATTTTGTGTTGGATTTGTTGCCTTACTGACATCAAAAACTTGTAGCAGACTCTTCTTAGAATCTATTTGGGCTTGCCAATCTCGGAAATGTATTCGTTATCGCATTTAATAAATGAACGGTTTAATTTAATTTTAATTCGAAATACATATAGTTGCTATAAAATATAAAATGAATATTAAATATAGAAATAATATTAGGAGGAATGAAAGATAATATATGTAAGATTATTCCAGATCTAGCACTAGCTTTCTACAAGGTTGGAAAGTAACACGTCACTTATAACGTCGTTACCATTACAGTTACTTTTTTTCAGTAAAGATTTAGTAACGACGTTACATTTTCTTATCAGTAATGGCAATGACAATGTAGTTATATTTTTTGGTAACAGTAACGAATATAATCATTACTTTTATCGTTACTTTGCAAAACATACAATATATATGTATTTGTACATATAATGAAGAGAAGCGAATTTTAAAGAGATCCTGAAAACTCGATGAAATTATGACTTCCCTGTCGATATGTTCAATTGCAGCTATATAACTTCAAATATAACAATAACTTTACATCGATGTTATAATTTCGTACTCAACAATGTAACTGCATATATACAGTCCGGTTAGGTCAAATGCAGATTGGTATTGCCATTCGGTTTAGCCTATATCAATTATGAGCTCAAGAGAAAATTGTAGAGTAACGCAGCGTTTAATTTTTCAAAATTCCTTTGCTGCCTCTAGTGTTGTTCCCAATGACGCGATATCCTTTCTAGAAACATATTTTGTTATTTTTCTTTGCCGAATTCGGTGATTTTTCTTAAATAGTTATTCAACTTGGAGACATTTTGAATTGAAAGATTTCGCTTTGTAACTTATTTGTTGCTGCTACCCTTACAGAAATTTAATACTGAGAATTTATAGTAACTAAATACTGACAATATTTCAGTAATTAATTGCCCAATATTTAATTATTGATTAAAATATTTAAAATTATATAAATAAAAAGAGTGTATGTGTTTTTTTATTGATATTAATAATAAAATAAAAGTAATAAAAAAGAAAAAAAGAAAACGAAAAAAAGACAAACTCAGAATAATAATGAATCTGAATCATCTAGTTGGCAATCAGGCATCTTAAATTTTCTGCTGCCACTGTTAAAGTAATGTATTATTGTCTATGATAAATTGGTTAATGATAAATTATTGTTGCCCAGTAATTTTATTACGCGTATGAATAATAAAATTACTGAGTAACAACAATTTATTATTGGCTAATTTATCATGGGCAGTAATAATTTTCTGTAAAGACGAAACATTTCTTGATGTATGTTCACTATTTACTGTACGTACTTCTACTGCTCTCTCAATATTTCATTACTGCAAATTCAGTAATTCTCAGTTTTAAATTTTTATAAGAGCATATTTTATCAATATTGTGCCATTAAACACTAGTATTTAAATATTCGTATTAATGATAAAGTGGTATATCGCTGCAAATCTAAGCACTGAAATATTTGAGATAATTGTGAGCTCTTGTTCAAACTCTTGAACCTTCTTAAATATGTTGAAATTACATAACTCACATTATATCGTATATAAGCTGTTGTTGATATAATTCTATTAATATAAATTCTCTATATAAGTTCTCGGGCCACCAAATTGGCGTACTTATTTGATGGAGGATAAATTAACACGATCGATTTTTGGCTGGATGCCGAACGAAGAGTTCGTTGCTTATGCAACATTGGCTATAATTCTGTTCTTGATATGCTGTATTATTATAGGTTTCACGCTTTATATCAGGTGATACATAGTCATATGAAGGTATATTAAAAACCCTGCATGCTTTCACAAAGTGCACTGAAATAGTAGTCAATTTTTTCATTAATTTTTAGTAACAAGGGAAGCTATATTGTAAAATAATGATAATATATCATATGTTTGATTTGTTATAAGGTTTCGAGAAAGTATTAAAGTTAGTCCGGCTGTGGTAAAAGAGAAGGTACGAACAAGAAAATTTAAAATAAAGAATAGAAAAGTTATCAATGGTACAGTCGTAAAAATGGAAAATGAAAGTACAATGGATGATATTATTCAATTTCAGGATGTATATAGAGCATATAATAATGAAAGTCGTACGAGACAATTAGAAAACATAGATCATGTCGGCATGAAGTCACAACAATCGAGGCCCAAAAGAAGAACGATCTGGCCTCGTAAGTTATTCAAGAATTCCAAGTCAAGACGTGAAGGTTTGTTTAGATAAAATGTTTGTTTAGATCAAATATTTCTGTAACTATTACTCAGTTTTATTATTAAAGCTCCTGTTTCTTCGACGTAGCCATTTTGATTAATGATGTCAAAAGCGAGCAAACGTTCTTATGGGATACTTTGAAATAAAAAAATATATCCTTAAAATGATAATTGTGATCGATTGAGCATCCTCCCTCCCTCAGTCCTATTGCTCGCATCCGGACATGGTGACCTCTCTAATATACCTGTGGTGCTTACGCTGATTATATATAGGCATATGGAACCTACAGTTTAACGCCGGTTCCGAATGGCATATTACTTAGAGAAATTCTTCTACTCTTGGCAAAGGTACTCTCGGTAGAGTTGCAACTTCTTTCCGAGAGAAGACATTAGTGTAAATATTTTGGCTTCTACCGGGATCGAACATGGGACCACTAGCATAATAGACCAGTGCGCTATGCCACATTCGTGCTCAGCTCGAGCTGAGCACATTTGAATGATATTGTGAAAACTTTTTATTTTAATAATCAATAAATAATATATATCATAAAGTTAATCTAATAACATCATAAGAAAAGAGAGACTAAAAAGGAAAATTGTTGGTCGTGTTAATTATATGGTTATTTATTAATTTTTAGAGTAAAACAGTAAATTTTTGAGAATATTTTACAAATGTACGCAATCGATCATGATTTTATAGGCATAACCTTTTAATTCAAAGTATTTCGTAAAAATTTTTGGCATACGTTTTCACGCTACTGTCGTCAAACAAAATGACGCAATGAAAGACCAGAAGCCATACCTCAATTCCTACTTAATCGACTACATCTCAAATTGTAGATCGGAGTGGTAAAACTAAATCGACTTTCGACGAAACGTCAGAAAGAACGAACTTGATCACCGAGAGCGACACCGATAAATAAGGGAGATTTTAAGTCTGAAGATGAAACACACATATAAACGTTCAACACATAAATGTTATTTATTTTGCACAGAATGAATGTTTATTGTTTCTTTTTTCAAATTTATAACGCCAATAGATAGTCTCCTGACGGTTGCGTACCTTCCAATTGTTCATAGTTTCGGTTGAAACGGGCGAGCGATACAGACGCGACTCATGGCAGACGCCAGTGTGAATCAAACGAAATGAGGGGTAAATGAAAGAAAAAGGAGCTCCGAAAAAGAGAGCACGAAGGTCTACTCTGGGCGTGCAGGGTGGGAAGGATGCACTCCACAGGGAGGGAGAGCCGATCGGCGAGGAGTGAGGTTGCCAGCAGATCGGTAGGACAGGCCTGAGGGAAGCGCAACGAAAACAGAGAAAAAGAATTGACGGAGGCTATTTGCTGGATACGGTAGGGAGGGCGAGAGCGGGTGCGTCTTGAATAGACAGAGGAAGAGAGAGAGAGAGAGAAAAAACAGATAGAGGGGAAAAAGAGACAAAGAGCGAAGATATACAACTTAAAGTAGCACGAGAAGGAGCGAGAGAGAAGCAGAAAGCGACAGGTGCGCGGGCGCCCACGTGGGTTCCTTTTTGAAGCGAACGGTGGAAGGACGAAGAAACAGAAGAAGAGAAGGAAAAAGAGGAGGAGGAGGAGAAGGAGGAAGAAGAAGACAACGACGACGAAAGCGACGAAGACGACGAGAAAGATGACCGGCCGGCTTCCTTGTGAAACGGTTGAACGGACCGACACTCGCTCTACACTCGAAGTTGCACTCACGCCAAGTGTACGTGGTGGGGTGGAGATTACACTGGCGTAGGGCTTGTTTTCCAAAGATAAATCACGCTTCCTTTCACGGTTGCACGCGAGGACTGTTTGCAAAAATATACTTGTTATTTATTTAATCGCGGGAAATCGAAGGATTGTAGTACGGCGAAGGAGGCAACTTCCGACATCTTACGCCGGATACACTCACGACACTCGTTCGTCTCACGAGTCTCCGATTTCATTGAATGCGCCTGATATTTCGTGTTTCCTATTGAGACGGGAATATTGTTAACGTTGTATGCATTGGAGTGCATCACGGCGAACGGGCCGTTGAAGAGCGTAGCGAGAGCTAGCCGAAGCGGATCAGTATCCTTAAGGCTATGCCCTGACTACGCCGATGAAAAAGGCCGCGGCGAGGGTTCGGCGCGATGAGTGGGAAAAGACGGATGTAGGGAGGGGGAAGGGCTAACCATTCGGTAGCAAATGTTGGTAACCCGTCGCAAGGTCAAGATCAGTCGGTTAATCCCGTCCAGTCGGCCGAGGGCCTTGCACCTTGCACGACGAACGATCTCGCCGCCTTTCTATCTCTCTGTCGTTTACGCGTTCTACGTGCCCGTAATCTCGCGCCCGATACGCGGCAAATGCATGAATTAATGTGCAATTAACGGTCGAGCACGACTTTAGGTAGATCACGCGTCAGCAAGGAACGTCCGGACTCAAGCGTGGGCTCTAAATGTCAATTAGCCCGGCCGAGATCTGTGAGAGCGATGATCTCCTTCTCGTTCGATACGCGACATGCTATCTAAGTAACTAGTGTGTGTCTCGTCGGGACTACGGTTGGTGTGTCTCGATCCTTGCCCGCCGCAACCGAGCGAAATACCTTGACGACGGTGTCACGCGCGCACGGATGTGCTCGGAGTAAAGTCGTTTGTGGAGAGGAGGCATCGCTTGTGTCGGTGGATCCTTGAAAACAATCGCCACCTGGACCTCTGTTATGGAAACTTGCGTCCTGATACCCAGAGAATTCTCATTGGTCCTCACCAGCGATCAGTCGTCCTGCAAAAGCCTCTTCAAGAATGATTCGGGCACGTTAGTCGCAGATGTGAGAATATCGGTATGGTCGAACGTGTTCATCCCGTCGGGTACCTTGATCTATCCTTTTCAAGGATCAATTCGATTTGACAAGATCGATATTTACTCCCTCCTCGATGACAATGATGTAAGTATTAACGCGCGTGCGTTTCTATTTTGTTTTCTTCGCTTTGTATGATTTTATTTTATCTGTCGGTGATATTTTTTAAGAAACATTTTTTCTTCATCAATTTGCGATCAATGTGTGTGCAGCTGTAATTCGAAATAATTTTCTTTAGTGTAAATATCAGACATCTACTTGAAGTCAGACATCCACTTGAAGTCAATAGGATAACATAATTTTCCCGTCCGTTTGTTCACTCGAAAGTCAACTCGCGGAAAATGCTTTTCTTTTAATCGGGAGACGTGAGCTTCGCAAGCCTTATCACTCAACTGGCCGGCGGCCAGTACAAGAGTGGAACGAGAGAGAAGTTAATATTTTTGATGAAAGTTAAGAATCACTTTTCTTGCGTGCGCGCGTCGGAGAGGAAAATTTCGGTGCCGATACCACGTGTATTGTCAATGCGCGCTGGCTGAGAGGTCTTCGATTGCCGCTCATTAAAGCGATATTCTTTTAGATCAGACGCGAATACGGTTGTTATGACGAGGTCTTCTTCTCAAATTACAATCTTAACAAGCGTCAATGCAATTGGATAAGGTTCCTGCGTATCGTCCAGTCGTACGATGAGCAAGTTAATTTGATCGGCACGAAGGTAAAAGGTATGTCGAAAGCAGCGTTCAAGTCGATTCCTTAATTCCCGAGCGGGTTCTTTAATTCCCGAGTGGTAATATGCAAACGCTTACTAATTGGCACTAATGATTTTCACGCATCATATAAGGAAAAGGAATTGTACAAGATAAGGAAAAGGAATTATACAAGAAACGAACGAAGTACAATGTAAAATAAATTATTAACAATAATTAATGAAAAATATGAACAATAGTCCTTCAGGATTCTATGTCGAGTATACTTCAACGTCGCGTTTTGTCCCAATCGTTTCAGTAAATAAACATTTTATTCATTAAGGCTATTGTTTCTTCATCGTAGTTATCTTAATTAATGAAATCAGAAGCGAGAAAATGAATATCTAAAATTCTTGCAGAAAAAGTTGAAACAAGTTTAAAATAATGTACATATCTGTAAAATGATGATTGTGATTGATTGAATATATTTGTAAAATATTCTAAAAGCCTTCTATTTATTTTAACAATCAATATTTAGCCGTATAATCAATAATCAATAATTAGCCGTAAGATTAACGTGACAAAATCAGCGAATGACCTGGAATCTTAACATCAATAATTAAAAACCATTCTTTATATATGATATTTCATATATGCGAAATTGCAATTTTTTATAGAAGCAAAAAAAACCGTTTTGAAAATCCACTTTCTCTAAACGATCGAATGCTTTTTATATTCCTTTGCTTATATAATTTCCAAACGAATGTAAAATGTTTCTAACAAGTTGAGAAAAGAAAATTTTGAATTCGTTGAACTAAAAATTCAAACATGGCTATGTTTGAAGAGACGAGATATTATTTCTCAGATATATGGTATCAGTGTAAATATATTATTGTAAATGTGTCGTTGCATTAGTTAAATATAAACATATTGAAACGCAAATACTGCGCAATGTGATTGCGACGTAAGTGCATCTTTACAGGCCGGCTGAGAAAAAAAGTTAAAAACAATTTAGGTTGGAAAGGGTTATTAGTATTCGCTTCTCTTTCTGCCAATTTTTAAGAAAATTTCTGGGTTATTTCTCCGTCTTCCATGTTTTTATCGTTGCGTGAATAACTTCTAATGCTTCAAAAGCCTCCGAATTTTTCGAAATCTTTGTTATACATCTTTGTTATACGAATTTTTCATTCGAGAATCGAGAACATCTCTCACCGGTATTACGTTAATGTATTTCTCTGTTCGGTGTTTACGTTCTCTTATATTTTCTTCTTCATCTTTTTCCACAGGTGAACCTATATTCGAGGTGATAAAGGACGTTCAACCGGACACGGAACTGGTAGCTTGGTTCCTGCCAGTAACGCAGCAGGATTTCGTTATCATCTCGCACGATGTATGCTCTAGATCAGCTATCTACAGGTGCACGATCGACTCTATCTTAGACGGTAAGTGAAAGATAAATGTGATAGTCAGACTTGCTTGCAAACGTCGTCAGTAAACATTGTTAACTGAAAGCGTGTATGAAATTTGCTCGTACACACACTTGTGGATATATAGTAAATTTCACCTATCCATATAAATATGTTAATCCGTTATTCTTGCTCCAACTGGCAAGTGGTTCTTCATGGAGAAATAAGTAATAAAAAGAGATATCAGAAACGCGCGGGATAAAATTGTTTCAAATAGAAAAAAAAACCAAGCCCATATTGTGAACCCTTGGCGGCTAATAATGAATCACATACTAATTAACAGAGGAATACATGCATTTAATGTCGTAAAATATTTCTTTTCGCCCTAATTTTAATTCCAAAAAAATTTTTTTAATTATTAAAATAAAACACTAATTTAAAAAAAACATATTTTTAATTAATATTTTTTAATTACATATTTTTTAATTAAAACTTTTATATTTAAAAATGGAAAATGAAAATTTCAAGTAAATATTTCCCAGCTTTAATAAATATTATTTTAAATAAACAAATTTTTATTTAATGTAATACATATTTACTTCAATAGAATAAATAATATTTAGAAGAATATATTTACTTTTAGTTTAAGTACATTTTTCTTTCAGTATATTTATTCCACCTGTTTTGAGGTACATATGCACCACAGTCTCCCGTAGGAAAAATTCCTTTCACGGTATACAAGCTGTACGAGCACGGCTGTCGAATTTATCGTCCCTATTTAATTCCTTAACCGCACTTTCTCCTTCTCTCTCTCTCTCTCTCTGTTTTGAAAATTTATAAGAAACGTCGCGTTCCGAAGTTATTGTAACTAAGGATCATCTAACTACCCAGTGACTATTGTAATGTCTTTTATTTCCGATGCACGCGCACGACAACGATGACGACGACGATGGCGAAAGTAGTGGCCCCGCTTTACATATTTAAATCGGAAATCGCGCATCTTGTGATCCGTCCGATAAAAATGTCACTGCGTATTTGCATTTCAGATCGTTTTCGATAATCTCTTTGCTTCTTTTCTGATTTCGTTGCGATTACCACTGCGCAGCAGCAACAGTAGTCGATTCGCGGAAAGATGAACGATTAATGTTGTGAATTGTATATTGTTGATTTTCATGAAATTCAGTGGTTTCTTATACGAAAAGAGCAAAAAATATGTTTACATATTTGCGTTAAAAAAATATTTATTGAAATAAGATAAATTTCATTCGATTCAAGAAAATGATAAATCAAAGACCCGTAAATAGTTAGGTGACAGAATAATAGATACTAGAAATAATATTTGTACTGAACTTAGATAAATTAATTGGCGGCGATCTATAATACAACGAGTAGCAACATGTTTGCAAGCAAAAGGTGGAATTTTGAACAAATTATATGATTAGAAGAATAATATTTATCTAACAAAAAGCATAAATTTCTAGTATTCTTTGCCTGTTACAATATTAATAAAATAATCTATATTTTGATAATTTAACCGAATTGACTTATAATGTGTATGAACTTTTTATTTAGAATTATCTTTCTAACACACTCTAGAAGTCAGTTTCCTCGGAAACTATAAAAAGTGATAAAAATAAAAAATAATATATAAACACACACACACACGCGCGCGCGCGAGGACGATTAAGAATTCAATGTTTCTTTATAAGATGGAAAATAATTCCCGAGAATGTTACTTTCTAAATATACATTTTATTCGTATTCCTCCCTCCTTTCGTATCTTATTAAATTCCTAAAGTTTAAAGTGCAGTTGAGACCGAGTGCCAAGCTTTTACATGGATTATTTACTATACAGAATCTCCGCTGGATCTATCGATGACGCTACTTGCTCATCATTCTTTGCCACCGATATCACACTCCTATTACGAAATGGATGAATATGAATCAACGTCCGAGGAATCCTCATCATCTACGCTGTCGTTGGCCGGCGATCACCTCGATTGCAGCATCCTGACGACAATTAAGAGAGGAGAGAGGGTTTTATTGCCCTGCGAGGTTTGCGGCAAATCCTTCGATCGACCGTCTCTTCTAAAACGACATATGAGAACGCATACAGGTAAGATACGAGCTTCTGGCATTCGCAATACTATTTTAAATTCCGCGTCCTTCCGCAAAACTTGAGAAGACAGTCGAATCATTTTATTTTTTCTGAATATTTTCAAATCGCGATTTCCAATTATGAGACAATTCTAACTGAAAACAAAATTCCTATTATAAGAAGTTGATGAAAATAAAATCTTTAAATGCAACATTAAATTTTACCATTACTATATATCAATATAATTTTTTCGTGTTTGTAGAAAATTAATTTCTGCTCTTTTGAGATTTTCGTCAATTTATATCTTATTCTTGTAAATAATTTAAATTTTGGCTTTAAATTAATTTAGTTGAATAATTTTTAAACAAAAGGAGAACACCAAAATAATTCCACGCATTCACATGTGAAACACTCTTGTTCTCCCCTAGATTGGGCAAGTTTTATGCTTACCGAGTTTATGTGATTCGCGAAATCGTGTATGTCGTCAATGAGATAAACGACACGTTCTTGAAGCGAAGGAACGTCGCCGCGTTGTCCATATATAAATTGAGCCAGAAATCGTATAAAACGAAGGATCAATGCGGTAATTCAGGATCGATATTAAATTGAAGGAGAGAAACCACATGTCTGCATGGTGTGCAACAAGGGTTTCTCAACCTCGAGTTCGCTGAACACGCATAAACGCATCCATAGCGGCGAAAAACCCCATCAGTGCCTCGTCTGCGGTAAGAAGTTCACAGCTTCGTCGAATCTATATTATCATCGGATGACTCATATCAAGGTGAGCATAGTCCCCGTTTATGTATGGGCGCGCGTGTGTATATGTTTGTGTTCTTACACGCTTATAACGCCTCGATATTTCAAAATTTATAGGACGGTCCCGAGTAGAAATGTATTATTCGGCCGTCGAATAGAAATGTATGAGTCAAATGCTAATAGCTAACAAGTATAAGTTAGCTATTAGCTTTTGACTCATTAAATAATTCGTTAATGTCTGATAATTCATTAAAATGTGAAATCGGTTTTATGATCTAGCCGTTGTCTAACTATTATGTATCAAATATAGTGTAGATGGCGCTGTCTATTCAAAATATACTACTATAATACTAAATATACTAATATAATAACCATCGCAAGCTGTATGGAACCATATAAAATTTAAATAACATATCAAGTTGAGAAATATAATCAATATTATCTTGTAAACTACATAAAATTTCGAGTTATTAAAGAAAATAGGTAAATCTGCATGTCCGATGCGATGAATGCACCATCTGTCGATGCAACTGACGCGTCACAACGTTACGTGGATGGTATGTTGACAATCCATGTTCTAGATATCCAAATTATTTCTCCGATTCATTCATTTCTTCTGTTATCATTTGATACTCACCGCAACTAAGAGATCGCGCGGTCAATCATTTTTTTATGCCGATCGTGTCGATCGAGTCATGCGATGGTATTCAATGAGGTAAGTTCACCAGAAACCGGATATTAGACAAAAAATTAAAGATGCATAAATTCGAATTTTAATAAGTTTTTCTTTTAAAATATATCAGGGACTATACATAAATGGATTTATGATTGATTTATTCTTCTTTTCTTCCTCAAAATCTGGTGAAGTGTGACATTTTCTTAAATATTGGAATTCCTGTAATTCCAAAACTTAATTTCTAAATTCTTTATAGGAAGTATAACTCCTAATATAAATGCTTATTAAAACTTATTATTTATTAAGTTTCAACTAATATATTAATCTTAGTTTTATGCCATTTAAGTACAAGTACTACATATATATTTATGTATTAATAATACATATATTTATTAATAGTATTATATTTTAATAAATAAATGAGATATTCGAACGGAAAAAAAATTGTTACTGCAATATTAAAAAATGAATAAGGTTTTTGGAATAAGACAGAAGGAAATGAAGTTTTTATCATTTGATAGGGCAATGTATCAAGTGTTTTTACATAGCTGATTTGTATCTCTCATCGTCCCCCTATTGTGAAAAATCCACAAAAAGAATTCTTTGGACTTGGTCAAACGTTTTTCACTCAGATATTTATTCAACAATATTTCAATGGAATGAAAAAATAACGATCTATTCCAAATTACTTACTACGAATTGTTATAAAATATCCGTATTCAAAACATGCTATTATTATATCGGTTTGATTGTATAACATTAATGTATGAATATTATTCGATAAATGAATAGGAATTAAATTTCACTTCCTTTTATAATAATAAGAAAAATTCAAGTAATTTTCGTCCAAAATAAATTTTGTTGTCACCAAATGATAGAACGATCGCCACATGTACCAATTTAAACTTGTCGATTTACGTTAACGTAGTTTTCGTTATAATGATTGTTAATTTATATAGTTTTATGAGAACTTCATGAATGCAATATATTTCCAGGTATGTGCGTATATGTGAACATGCTAAATACGTGTGAGTTGTAATAATGTAGTATTTATTTATGGACGATAGAA